GGGGGGGGGGGGGGGGGGATTTATTAGCTTACCAGAACCGCCGAGCAAGCCAAGCTTCTCGTCAAGGTACAGGTTAGAAATGCAGTCGACCATATCGGGGAACAAGCACGATGTAAAGTTGAGCTGAGCAGAGTCAATAAACCTTCTTGCTGCGGTAAGGTAATATCCCCGGACGTAGGCCGCCACCTCGATCTCGGTCTCAAAGGGATCTTTGCCGAGCTGGCGGATCTCTTTCTGCGTTTCCGTCTCTTCCTTTTGGCGCTGCTCGGGCGTCATCTGCTCCCAGATAGGAAGCGGGCGATCCTTGTCGTCGCCCTTGCGGAACGGCTTCATCCGATGGTAATGGCGGTTGCGCAGCAGGACCTTCCTCTCTGATTCCTGGTGGCGGGCGCACGTCTCGGCGTCGGCCGTGTACAGCTGGCGGGTCTCCATCCGATAGACGTGGCTGAGACGGTCGTTAACAATCCTGCCCTGCTCCTCTAGGAATGACTGAAGAATGCTCCACGACTTCTTGAAGATCTGTCGGTTCGTTAGGGTCTGTAGAGCTCTGTCTAGTGAGATCTTGACCTGACTTCTAAGCAGGTTCATGGTCTTTTCGAGGAAGATTCTCAGCGGCTCGACCCATGGATGCACTGCTTCCCTGCAGAGGACGACCTTGACTTCATCCGGCACGGTGTTGGGCATGCCGGGACGGCGGTGAGAGCGGATCAGATCTCGAAGCTGCGGAAGAGTCTTGGACTTGACGCCACCGGTGAATGGTCCTAGACCAGCAGGAGGGGGTCCAATACGATTCGCTCGCGGCGTGACCGGATTGCTGCCGAGGGTGAAGCTGCTAGCAACGTCCTCCACCTTCAATCCGTCCACGCCTCGTCTGCGCTTCGCCGCAGGGCTCTCAAAGTCTCCTTCAACCTGGCGTCGGTATTGGCGCTCAGTAGCAGGTGAGCTCATCATGCTGTAGACGCTTGCAGAGTCGTCGTCCGCAGTCAGGTCGATAGGACCATCCGAAGCGGCCCGGGTACCAGCATCCTTAACGATGTACTTAGGCTTCATTTGCAGCACTCGGTCTCGGAACTCGTCCGCGATCCTGGCCCACTGGGAGGTGAAGTCCTGACTCTGCATGGACGACTTGAGGTATGCTGTGAACTCCATCAAGCTTCGCTTGATCTCCAGTTCCGGGTTGTGAGGGAGCTCAGGCAGTCTGCCGAGGTCGGTTCGGACCGTCTCGAGACGGCTGAAGAGTTTTCTCTTCACGTCGGGCAAGCTGTGGCAGGACATTAGCTATGGGCCATTGAAACGAAAACAATCTGAGACTTACCTCTTTGCGAAGGCCTCGCTGAGCTTCTGCGACAAAAACGCCTTCAAGCGAGGCACACCACAACGGTCATCGTGAAGGGAGAAGGCTCGCGGCCAAGCCAGTCTGTCGTCATCACCCGGCCCGGGGGCACGGTTAAAGAACGCCTCCTCGGTCTTCTGCTCCAGCTCAAGGTCCATCTCTCTTCCGGGGCGGGACGTGACGAAGTAGCCCAAGCCGATCTGGTAGACCTTTCCGCCTAGCATATCGACCCACTTGGACTGGTCGCCATCAGACAAGAGATCGGCCTTTGTCATGATGCCCAGCGTTCGCTTCTGGGCCTTGGCGCGGCGGATGATCTTCAAGGTGGAGGAGTTCTCCGGGTCACCGTTCATAGGCACTGCCCACAGGATGATGGCCTTGGGGTGCGAGATGTACTCGCAACAGATGTCTTCGACATCGCCAGCTAAGTACTGGTCATTCGGATCAGGGGCTGTCTGGAAAATTCCAGGCAGGTCGTAGAGAGACAGGTCGGCGAGGTCAGGACCTCTGATCTCGAGCGCGACGGTGTTCGGGCTGAACTTGGCCTCGGTCTTCTGCTCGGCGATCTCGAGGTTCTTTCTCGCGCGGTCATCCACTTCACCTTGTCGGGGCACGAATTGCATGTGGTTGGCGCTGGGGTTGAGCACAGCAATCTGGGCCCAGCGCAGGACGTGCTCGATCATCGGCGTGTCACACTTATCTTGGATGGTCTTAAATTCTTTGACAACGCGATTTTGCCGTTTGAGCCATTTCTCCTTGCGGTTGTTGGCGCCCGCGGGGGCGCCGTCGTCATCACCGTCCGAGACATGCCCTTCGGCGGGCTGATAGTCGTAGTCCAGCTGCAGCGTGATGCTGCACGTCCAGGTCTCCTTGTGCGACATGCGGATGTGGATGGGGCATCGGGTGCAGGTGCCCTTGCCTCGGGGCAGACGTAAGCCGGCGATGGCTGACATGAGCGATGACTTGCCGGCGGACTGGTCGCCGACGAGAACCAGCTCCGGGAGGCTGATCTCGTGCTGGATGCCGAGCTGGTGGAGGTCGGACAGGGTGTCATTGCACTCCTTGACCTTGGCGGCGATGTCGTTCAGCACCAGGCCGTTGGACATGAAGCTCTCATCCAAGGCGCGGGGCTCGGGAGGCTGCGGGCGCTCTGGGTGCGGGCGCATCTGCATGAACTGCACCTCATTGTCCAAGTTGCTATCTCGGTCCTCAGCCTCATATCGGCGGTGATTGTAAGTTGAAATGCTAGCTATCATGGCAGTCAGCTACTCATCCATACAAGTATACGTTTCATCTGCAATGAGCGCAAAGTGAAAGGGCTTATCTTACGTGCGCCAGAGCGGGCAAAGGTAAGCTCGAGGGCGTTGTCTGTGGCGTCCGAGGCCATGATGGTTGAGTTGCCTCTTCTCGGACGAGTCCTCTGCTCAGGAGCTCCCACGGACACAGTCTTGCCATGTGAGGGAGGCGGAGATCCTCCCCTGAGGACCTCCTGCTTGATATGCCTCCCAGGCATTGTCGCAGTGCTGTCACTCACTGTCAGCGGCGTTGCATAAAAAATGCGTCTATTTGTAAATGGGGCGTCTCTAATGAGCTAGAAATAAAGGAAGGTATGGTGGGAAAAGATGAAATTCAGGACGGTGATGAGAGGGTGGTGGTGAAGATGGCGGGATGGCGGGATGGCGGGACTGCGTAACTGACTTACACGAGCTTGGTGGTGGGGAGAAGGAGCCTCCAATGCGCTGCTAGCTCGCCTTCCTGCTTTTGATTAGGTTTCCTTGTGATATTTACCCAGGTTAGGCTTAAGCAGATATCTACAGTAGCTCGGATGCTTTTCTGAGTTGGTTCCTGGGTGGTATACGAGAGCTCAGGACGGACGAAGTGAGCTGCTGGTAGGATTCAGGGGAAGCTACAGCCTCTCTCCAACGGGCTGACAGGTGAGTTGATACACAAGGCGGGAAGAGAGATGAAAAAGGAAAAACAGCTTGATATATTCAGATGTCGTGTCTTTCGGAAAGGGGAGAGATGGATGGAGTCGAGAAGAGACGAAAGGGGAGAGAAACCAGCCGCCGGTGGTGGTAGACCTCGAGATCCAGGGTCGAATCCAGGGGTTTGGGAGGTAACACTCGGGCCAGCCTCAGATCCTGTTATGGTCTGTTAAGAGTTGGCGGGGTGCTGCCGGCGACAAGCTAGCAGGAGATATTGGAAAGCTGAGAGGTTGACGAGAGAAGGCCGCTCTAGAAATGAGAGAGGCTGGGAGTGGGGGCGGGCTCGGGGCCGCTTCAGCTTCAGGCAGCACACACGCCTCACTAATAATGCGCCGGGCTGCTGCTGCACACTCCTGCACGCCTGTCCACCCAATTTTGTATGGTGCAGTGTGAATCTGTGTGAATGAAAGAAGCAATTGCAGTACAGTGCAGTAAGACAAGCACCCGTTTGGATACCAGCAAACGAGTCTGATCTTCCAAGGACAACTCTTAGATGTTACTCTTTCCTCTCTTGGCCTTCTCTCACTAAACTACGGTGAGACTCGCCTGACTTCCCAACTCAACTCCTCTGCCAGGGTCATAAACGTTAACGTTCATTCTTGAAGGGTAAAGTAAAGATACTCAATAATGAGAGTCGTAATACTTATCAAGCTTTTAAAAATTCTGTTTATTACTATGAGCCTATCAACTCTATAAAGGTAGTAACCTCTTGTTGAGGAGGTAGTAATACCCTCGCCGAACTAACAATTATTACCCTGGTGGCGGGGAACTTGCCCCGATTCCAACATCTACACGTTGAGATGTTGTAGCAGATGTCGAATATGTCGAGTTTCCGATCAGCTGGGATCTACTTGAAACAGCACATCATTTTTTAATTTAATTATAGAATACAACGTCCGAATAATGATCTCAATACGCACTGCCTATCTCTGTCTTCCCGATGTCTTGTTGACCGTGATGCAACCAACGCATTCGCTTGCTGTTTAAGCCAACAAGTCAAGTAGTTGGCTGCGAAAACACATAATCAAGGTTCTACCTTATCCCAAATAATTATCAGTACCTAGGTGCATGGCGGAAGAAGTCTAAGCCAATAAAGACTGCTTCTTCTCTTCGCACTCAAGAAACAACATCGTCGTGCATGTGAACTGAAGGGATAGGCTTTCTTTCTATGATAGAAAAAGATAGCCGATAGTCCCTTGCATTTATCTACTTCCCTGAAGGAAGGATGACACTGAATGGCTGCTGCAGCCACCCCCCTCCCCTCCCCCTCTGTGGACCCCTGCCAAACAGAACAAGCCATTCGCCAATGGACACCTCACACCGACGCATGCACACAGGGCAGTCACTGGGCAGTCACAGTAGTAGCACAGGACAGCAAATAACTTTACCACCGAGAAATACGAGAACAAACATATCTTTAACCCCATTCCTCCTCCTCTTTCGCGGTTCCTGTCCTGACTTGACGGTCCTGCACACCATCTACAGCGTCAGATCTCTCGACGCTGAGCAGCCCACGACTTGACCCTTGATTTCAGGTTCTCGCCAGCTTTCTCCGCCCTTCCTGGTCCGCCCTGGTCTGGTCGAGCCTCGAAGCGCCTCACCTCGTCTTCACCGACCTTCTTCCCGTTTTTCGCACCGAAACTCTACAACCTGCCCAGCATGTCACTACAGATCCCCCACCGCGATAAGCAGGCAAACGGTGCCCACGGCGCCACAAAGGCCGTCATTCTGGTGAGCTGAGCGGGGACGGCTCTGGGCTTGGGGTTGGGGCAATCCGACGAAGGCCTCGTCTCCTATTCGCATTGCACAACCATACTGACGCTGCTTTCCGTTCAGGTCGGTGGCCCTTCCCGTGGCACTCGATTCCGACCGCTGTCTCTCGACGTCCCCAAGGTTCGTATGCCCCTTTTCCATTTTATATAACATAAAAGTCGCAGCTCGGCGTCGGGGGCAGGCCTCAAGTTCTGTCTCCTCTTCCCGCCCCTGCCACATGCGTGCTCTCTATGTCCCTTGTGGCCCCTGGCTAACGACGTATTGTCTCACTCTCATCAGCCTCTCTTCGATGTCGCCGGACACCCCATCATCTGGCACTGCCTGACTGCCATCGACAAGGTGCCCTCCATCCACGAGGTCTGCATGATCGGCTACTACGACGAGTCCGTCTTCCGCGACTTCATCAAGGACGCCGCCACTCAGTTCCCCAACCTGTCCATCAAGTACCTGCGAGAGTATCAGGCTCTGGGTACCGCCGGCGGTCTCTACCACTTCCGCGATGCTATCCTCAAGGGCCGCCCCGAGCGCATCTTCGTCCTCAACTCCGACGTCTGCTGCTCTTTCCCCCTCAACGACATGCTGAAGCTCTTCAACGAGAAGGACGCCGAGGCCGTCATTCTCGGCACCCGCGTCAGCAACGACGCCGCCAGCAACTTTGGCTGCATCGTGAGCGACAGCCACACCCGCCGCGTGCTACACTACGTCGAGAAGCCGGAGAGCCACATCAGCAACCTCATCAACTGCGGTGTCTATCTCTTCAGCACCGAGGCCATCTTCCCCTCCATCAGGAGCGCCATCAAGCGACGGGCCGATCGCCCTGCCCGCCTCGTCAGCTACCCCAGCTCCGAGAACCTCGAGAACTCCTTCATACTAGACCACGACGACGAGGATGACGAGAGCAAGAATCAGATTATTCGTCTGGAGCAGGACATCCTCGGTGACATGGCCGATAACAAGCAATTCTTCGTCTACGAAACCAAGGACTTCTGGCGCCAGATCAAGACGGCCGGCTCAGCCGTCCCTGCCAACGCTCTCTACCTGCAGAAGGCCTGGCAGAGCGGCTCCAAGGAGCTTTCTGCCCCCTCAGCGAACATCATCGCCCCTGTCTTCATCCACCCCAGCGCCCACGTGGATCCCACAGCCAAGCTCGGCCCCAACGTGTCCATTGGTCCCCGCGCAACCGTCGGCGCTGGTGCCAGAGTCAAGGAGTCCATCGTGCTGGAAGATGCGGAGATCAAGCACGACGCCTGCGTGCTGTACTCCATCATTGGCTGGAACAGCCGTGTTGGCGCCTGGGCCCGTGTCGAGGGAACCCCTACCCCTGTCACTAGCCACACGACCAGCGTTGTGAAGAACGGCGTTAAAGTCCAGGCCATCACCATTCTCGGAAAGGAGTGCGGAGTTGGCGATGAGGTGCGAGTGCAAAACTGCGTCTGCTTACCCTACAAGGAACTAAGACGGGTAAGTGCTCTGTGGCGGCGATCGCTTTGCCTGTTTACTAACATTCCTAGGATGTTGCCAACGAGGTCATCATGTAAAGGTCGTTTCAGATGGATTTGTCGACACTATAGCATTTTTGCGAGGTCTTTGAAAAGCTTGTTTGCTCGGCTAGGCTCTGCGTGCGGATGTAGGTATCCAATATGGAGGATAATAATAACACACGCCCTGAGATCAACTCTTTTATCTCCTGACTTGATATCATCTACATGGAATGTCACACTGGATATAAAGAATTTTCTATAGCTTCTTATCCGCCACAGTTTACCCTCCACCATCACAGCTAACATCTCAGGTCACTGATCTGACATCCTTGACCTCTCTTGTCCGCTCCGAAGCCGGCTCGTCGCCGGTGTTTACCGTTCCAACTTTCTCGACCATGAGTATGTGCGCATCCTTAGCTACGGGCCTATGCCTAACGCCCTTCGGCACAACAAACACATCCCCAATTGACATGACAACCGAATCTCGGTCTTCGATCTCGAGCGTCAACTCCCCTCCCAGCAGGTAGAACAGCTCGTCAGAGTTGGGGTGTGCGTGCCAGATGAATTCGCCGTCGACCTTGGCGATCTTAACGTGCTGGTCATTGACGGATGCGACAAGGTGAGGCTGCCAGGTCTCGGTAAAGGAGTCGAATGTCTGGGGAATTGACACGGTACTGCTCATACTGCTATTCGTGCACTTCTCGATTGGAGAGTCTTTACGAAAGCACACAGCGGTCTCCGATGTGATCACTTGCTCCTATGCCAGTAGACTCCAAGTAGGGCGTTCAGATTAACATGTAGCTATAAATCATGAGCTTTGTTTGAATGCAAATGACCAAAAACAGTCTTGTTCAGTTAAGAAGCCGTGTCATCCGAAGGGCGCATCTCTTGGGTCGTGGGGGCTATTCTTCTGTGAGGTTGTGCGCCATTGAGCACAAGACTAGTGAATTGGGGGATCCATAGAGTCTCTGCAAATTATTATCGGAGCAGAAGTTTTCACACGTTCAGCATCGTTGAGACACTAGCGGCAGAAGAATTACTTAAATTGTGCGTTTTGGTTGCTTGTGTCACAAAATATGGACAAATGTGCCTCAACTTGTCAAGCATAAGTAGTCAAAGTCTCTTATATGCATGTCACCTTGCTGCGATGATGCTGTTCAATCAGGACGGAAGAAAAGCATATCAAGTTATGCATCAGTCTCTCAACTACATTATCCAAGAGACCGCTAGGCTCATATGTTCTAGCATTTGTATGAAGGTAGTCTGAAGAGCTACTTTAAATATGGCCTCAGGGTTTTGACATCCCGAACAACTCGATATAGGCATGAGTCTCACCTTGTGTTTCCACAATAACTACCGAAAATGCTGCAAAAGACTGTTTCATGGTTTAAGACGTGTGAAGGCGGAGTCTAAAAGAAGTGGCCGCATTGATTGATGGTGGGGTTGACTTGTATAGCCAGAATGAGACGCCGCGGGAAGAGCAAGTAAGGTAGAAGTATAGCACAGATGAAAGAATGGCCCGCCATCAACGCTTCTATTTAGACCTCACCTACCTGATTATCCGATAAAAGGCTACCAAACACCGATCTAACTATCCATGCCCATTCCCGGAAGTTCAGTCAGCCCTGTGACATTGTCAGTTCAAGCCAAATGTGTGCCATTTTTACAGACGATCGGGGGTTGGCTTACATCCGTCGATATTTTCCTTGTATAGTTGCGACTTGGTGCATTTCATCGCCTCATCTGATGTCTGAGTCTTTAGTTGGCCACAGACGGCTCCCGTGCAGCGGGCATCCAAGGCTCGCTGGAGAGAATCTCCTTTCCAACCAAACACGTAGTCCCCGTGCTGTGAATACCCGGTTCTACACCTTGGTGTTAGACTCATGATCGGCTTATGTCCGTTACCATAGAGAGACTCACTGGTCGCCAGTGCTCCAAACGAACGGCTGTGAGCCATCGAGTGGCCATAAATCCTTATCGTTGAAGAGTCGGGTCTGGGATACTTCGGATTAGCAAGCGAAAGTTTTACCTTTCAATCCAAGTCCAGCCCCCGTAGCATCTCATCGGATTTCTCTCAAGGCAATTACATATTTAAGGTGAAATTTGGAAGCGTAGTTTATTGTACTTACATCCCACATGACTTCGTACATCACTTGAGGGAGTTTCACAGGATGACTGTCTGGGCAGCTACCGCCATTATCGAAATTTCCTGAGCTAGGATATGCGACGTGGCTCTCATGGTCTGGGCTGTCCAAATTTTTGCCATCCCAGCATGTAGGGAAAGTGATGACGGTTCGTATTCCGCCCTCGCAGAAGCCCTTCGGTAGGGCTTGGGTGTCCGGGGGTGAGCATTCGATATTGCTAGCGTCTCCTGTCTTTGGCATACAGCGGTGGCATACCTTGGGGTCTTTACTCGTTGATCGCAGCAGCGCGTCCCCAACAAGCATACGGAAACCGGGCTTGAAGGCAGTGACCTTTGTCTTTCCGTCATATGGAGGAATATAATATACTGTGATGCCACCAATTGCGCGAAGTCCTTCGCTCACAAACTGGGGCACACGCTTGTAAGTCCCATTGCGGGCTCGGAAATAGAGAACCGCGGTCCAATAGTTGGAAAAGTCTTCTGAGAAAGTGCAGCTAGTACATGTGGACTCGGTTGGGAGATCGTGCGTCGTTGGGTCCATGGAAGCGTTGAAAGAGTTACCTCCGACAATCTGGTGGACATGTGTCGACGGTACTTGGCCAGGATTGACCAAAGGATCTATTCGGTCGATGACAAGTTGGGAGCAGCTGAATCTCATCATCTGGAAGTTCTGGCCGAAACCATGTTGCACGAATAGTGCTACGACAAGCGGCTTCCACTGCATCTTAGATGAGATGGTTAGTGTCTTTTGTGGGAGTTACAAGCTTTCCTAGACGACAGAAACGAATGATTAGTAGAATACAATGAGCGAAATCCCTTAAATATCCGACTTTAACACAACGAGCTATGGTTGAGGTTCTGATATATGCCGTTAAGCGCTGATCTCGATACTTTAGCCTCAAATTACCTCTATATTGGCCCTGGCGAGGAATGTGTGGGTGGGTGGGGACGGCATTTCCCCGGCCTGCCAATGATCGGGTTCATTTATATCTTCTTGCTTCAATGAAAAGAGTTCTGTCTCAGTGATGGTGGTTGAAATCGGTTGCGATATCGAATGCGGTTGACCCAAGCCCTTCCACCAATCCCTGTGCCCATAGGCTGTAAATAAGAGATGAAACTTGTCGAACATATATCGCTCGCTTCTCAATTTGGTGAAGACGCCGCCTCCCTATCGGGTGCTGTGCCGATGAGAGGGATAAAACAACAAGTATACGTACCCCGGGGCTTTTGAGAGAAGAAATCGTTGGCTCAGTTTACATAATTTCTGATTTGGTGCATTTTCCGCAATAGATGGCGATGTTTCTAGCCGCAGCACAATATTTGCTAAGAATAAAATAAAAACAATATCTAACAATGCTCATTACAAATTTTGTCATTCTGTAGCCATACGCTAGAGTCACTGATTTGACAGGAAGATGTAGGTCCGTGATTTGATAGTTGGACTTGTCAACTAGCTCCAGGACTGCGTTGAAAATTTCGAGGAAATAAGTGGCACAAAGAGTTATATTCATAGGGAGACTTCCCTAGGAAGCTTCTAGAGCAAAGCTTGAGGCTGGCAGTGTGATGAATATCAATCACCAGGTCTTGCTAGGTCTTGTTTGCTGTGATGGGACATTGTAAGAAGCTCATGGTGAGTTGAGGCACGACGACAAACGAGGCAATTTTCTGAGACTTGCTGCAAATTCAAGCGCTAACGTTTCTCCTAATCTTGTCACAAGTTCCTATGAATTCATGTCTTTGAATGACCCTTTAAAGCCTGCGGCAGGCACAATATTCCCCAGCCTTCAAGCCTCTAGTTCGAGGACTTGATCCAAAGCCATGCTTTTTTTCTATCAGATCTATCAATCCATCCTGCTTTTACAATGAACACCATCTGGATTTATCACTATAGTTGCAATCTCTCTCCCACTGATTACTACGATTGTCCAAGTGAGAAATTGGGTAGTTGGACTTATTTGACCGATTGCTTTTGGGGTTATCCATATCCACTATTTACTACTATGTAAATGCCCCTCTCCCATATTATGTTCTCCAACCTCAGGCCAAATGACCAAGCTGACTCCTGTGAAGACCAAGAGGAAGTGGGGGAGAGAGCATTCCTTCTACCGACTCAGAACTGGCTCGGTAGGGCAGCTCTATCAACAGGCAAGTCCAGTGCGGGGAACCTCATCCAAACACCTAAAAGTGTAGCTAAATTTCTCCATCTGAAAACTCCGTCTCACATCACCACTACAACTTCGTCATCACCGCTACAGGATAGTCATCATCATGATGAGCGATTCTCCATTCTTTCGTCTCCCTGCGGAGATCCGGGAGAGGATTTTAAGATATGCCCTTACTCCCGACGATACTGATTTTTTGATGACGGGGACCGCTCAATTCCCTGAGATTCTCTTCCGAACGTACGAAAAGCCGCTGCCGGCGGCGATGAGCACCTGTAAGAAGATGTACAGGGAAATGAGCCCTTGGGCGCTTACCGAGATTATCATTCGTGAATCAATTGAGGGCTCCAGCATACGCACTGGCATCAGATGTCACGGTAATTTGCGATACGAACGTCTGCGCCACGTTTCAATGGTTATCGCCATTGAAAATTCCAACTTTATCTCCCCGTCCTGGAGCCCCTTTCTACTCGGCCTCCTCAAACACAGCACCAACGTCGATAGCCTGGATATTGAATTCTATAAGAATGACTTTCAGAAGGAAGTGGAGAGTGAACTATCAGCTGCGGAAGAGCGTCGTCACAATGGTGAGGAAAGAGACCGAGACCTATTTATTCTGAAGTATTACGCACAACCCGAGTGGTTGGAGGAGATAGCTCGGCAGCCTAGCCTGAGACGTGTCAGCTTTGAGGGGAATGTGCCTAGAATTTGGCTAGAGCGTCTGCGCCGGGAATCTCGAGGTCGTATACAAGTATTCAGCGATGGAATTCGGTTCAGAGAGAAGGAACAGGAGTGGGAAATGAATGCAAACAACGGGCAACAACACAAAAAACAACGCAACATATTCGCAGGAACAGAAAACCGGCCCGTAAGTACTGCTAACCAAAGCCCACAATTTCAGGTCGTATACGTGCCTGCGTCCAGATACGATTAAATAGTCACTTGGCCAACTGTTCTAGAGAATCCGAGAGCCACCTGTCCTCATATAGCTCACACAAAGAATACTCGACTGTATAATATTGAAGCACATAGACAAAATGGTTGAGAACGTATGATCGTGTCCCTACCAAAAGTTGAGTCCTTGAATTCAATATATGCGCAAGCTGATTTGCAATGACTGGCATGAATGTCCCGGTGGCAGCATAATTATGTGTCAGTAGATGCTCAAAGAACTTGACGGAGTCCTCTCGTGATATTATTTCTAAATATCATGTAACGAAGTACATGATTTGTCATTCTCCTTGCTGTGATGACTCCGCTGGTATATAAACACCGACTAGAGTAAGGGCATCCCACAGTCTGGATATTTCACTCTCACTTCGGTATCGGTGTCTTCGAAATTCTTTGTTCTATTGACCAGAAACATCTCCTCACAATGCAAGGTATGGTGATATGGTGCCACGTAGCCATCAATAGCGGCTTGTCCCAAGGGGCTTAGAAGCGCTCTATGCATTTTTTTCCACATTGCCGTGCAATGCCTCCAGTGATACTCCCAATTCACAAACACAGGATTGTACTCTCCGGTAATCACTTGTGCGCGCGTGAGAGGACCTGTCCTATTGGGCCCTTGAAACCACTCCAAGTGGTTGGTCTCCTCAAAATCAGCTACCAATTCTGGATCCCAGCATTGGTCTGGGAGCCACATAAACGAGACGATGTCAAAGTGGCAGCCTCGAGCGCGGGCTTCGGCTGCTGTGCCGCCACATGGTTTTATGAGAACTTTACTTCGTGGTATATCGTCTCTGATCAAGTAATTTTGTAGGAGTGCGGTAATTAAACTGCCGCTGAGCAGACAGAGCAGTGCAATAGTGAGTATTCCGAGACAAGAGGTGAGAAAACCTCGGCTGCGTGTCTTATCCCGTGGCTGACTGATATGGCCAGAGACGAGGCCCTTGTCTTCAGCATCTTCGTTCACATGGGAGTCATTTTGATGATAATGCAAGTCGTCGTTTTGCAGAGCAGCATATTTATCTTCGGCAACCTCGGAGCGCTGACATTGCGATGTAAAGAAGTCAGCAGCCCGCGCTATGGTGTTGCCCTCCATCTTAGCATCAGGGAGGAGCTTTCGAAGTCAACGCCACACCGCATTAGCTCTCTCCTGGCATGCAGAAAGCAGTCGATGAAGTCGTCTTGGAATAGATGTTCCTGAAAAGCAAGTGGTTGAGAAAACTTCTTGACGTTAAACGGTAAGATTAGGTGGCGGATCCTTCTGCATTCACGAATGCTTGGCTGCTCACGACCTGCCCAATTGGTATTCGCGGCTGCACGACAACCATAGTCTCGCCATATCCATTGGCTGGGGACGTCAACATACCAGTCTGAATAAATGCAACCGCTTAACGCAAACTGCGAATCTTGGGTTCAAGGTTGTGACATCCAAGTTTGGTTTGGAACAATGCTGTACATAGTCGAACGACAACAGAAAATACTATGACCTTGCAATATAAGTAATGATATTACAGCAAGGGATTCCATATTCCAAGAAAGAATGAACTCCAGAAAGACAGCAGTGTCTGATATCTCGATCGATTGATCGAGCACGGCAAGACGAAAAAGCACCCATGGGTGTCCATCATGACAGATTCAGGTCTCGTCTTCTGTCTATGCAAGCAAATGTTAATGGTACAAACATGATCAGAACAGCTTTTGTAGAGAATTTTAGTTTGCCAAATGTTCATCTAAGCGGGCTTCACGAAACCTTCAGCCCCATCTACCACCTGCTAAAGACAAAACCATCCGAAGAGACCTGAGTACTTGGAAACGTTGCACAGACTGAACTTCTCGAATTGCCAGTTAAGAGTATTTCCCGACCTCCACATCGCAACCTGATTCACGTCTTATTTTATTTATCCACAACGGATGTACCGGTCTGGTCGTATCAAGTCGAATCGAGCGTACGGCTTTCATTCGGGGAAGGTTACCACATTGCGATGGCTTACCGTAGCTTTGGGGGGCTAGTATGTCGGTAGCGGCAAGATCTTCATATTCTGGTGGTGGTTGTTCTTGAGGACATCGGCCGGAGTGATGGGATGGGATATGAAAGGTCAATTGCTTGAGCCTCAGTCTCCCAGGGCCTCCTTGAAGCAGCCTATAGTCGCTCGACGCAATCCATATGAGGAAGCTATGTGTATGAAAATGCTGCCAAATGACGTCGAGGGATCTAACCTTGACCATAAGGGAATGTATACGGGTAATATGACCCTTACGGAAGAAGTCCCACTGGCGGCCGACGAGCTCATCGCACCAGTAAAAGCAATTTTCTCGGTAAAAGACTGGCCTAACCTCAGATTTCATTTGTTTACAGACAAGCTGTAGATTCTCGAAGTCACTAACTGCTTGCCTTTTCGGGATCTTGATTGGAATATCCTTGACGAGATAATGACGGTATATCAATCTTCGGATCTCTCCAGGTAACGATAGGAGTCGAAAAGGCTCAACAGCTTCCTCTGCGGTGAAAGCTCGCGTTCCTGATGGCCATATTCCGTGGGGTACAAGTCCCCTGGACTTGGCATTGCCTTTTCTCTTGGTAGTCTTGCGACTTCTTGGTGGAGCCATCGTGATATACAAGGCATAGGGATGTCGACGCGAGAAGTTATGCAATCAGAATCACAGAAATGAAGAAGAGAGGAAGACAGTCAGAGTCAGCTAGATATGGTAACGTTGTCTAGTTATGAGGGAGGCAGGTGAAAGCCTTGAAGAGAGTGCCTGTGGGGGGCAACCAACAGAAATGCCAGCGCGGTTCGGTCTGTAGCCTACCAACTAAAGCTAAACTTTCTATACAATACCATAACCATGGAACTCGAACATACAAGCGCAATTGTGGTGCAGCAGACTTAGGGTAGTTGGGCCTCTTGGATTTTGTAGCGGCTCTTGTAGCCGGGGATTATGTTATCTCTTAACGCAGCGGAGGTTAACCAACAGGGGATGGATCCAGGATCTACATTGTCTCGGACGAAGTCTAGCTCATGGCTCCCAGCGATATAATTAAGCCTTTGTATTCTGATATTTCATACTCAGCCACACCTAATAATGCCTTTTGAGCTCGAAGTAGGCTGTCATTGCCAGATATCAAAGACAATTGCCATCACATTGCAAGCCTGGAGAGTAGCGTTGGTGGGGAAGCAATTGACTAAGTATTAAAACCTTCCTGAGTAGGTAGATGGTTAAGAAGTATGCTGCTGCGGGCCAGGCCGCTAATCGCCTGCCATCAAGGACAAAAGGGTATTAATCTACTTCTACAGCACGTAATCTGCCCGCTTTACCTAACATAATACGCCAACGAAGCCTGCAGCTACCGACCAGTGAACATGAACCCTGCATACGCGATCGTCTGTGGTGAAGCCACACGCCAGCGGGTGCACTGCCCATCAGTGGCTCCAAACGCAGGCCCCGAGCCCGGCGCTTCAGCATCTCCGACTGGCTTCAGTCGCTGGTGAAGAGGGCTCCCATCAACAATGTCCTTCTCTTTGACATAGCCCTTGCACGGGCTCCTCTCGATGATTCTGCCTCTCTCTTGCTCTTCAGGTTAGTCTAGATGGTCTGATGTTGGACCCTGGCCCGACTTGAGAAGCCTGGCGAGATACAACGAGCCGGACGGTCCCTGACAGCCTCACCATCCGCCTCGAGCAGCTCGGCTGCTTTACAGCATGGCCACCAGTGGTAGCAGTTCCTCGAACTCCAACAATGGAAGTAACGGCGGCTTGGAGAGTGAGACTATCGTGGCTATCGTAGCCGTGAGTTCGCAAGCTGCTGTCCCCAATACTGCGCCCATAGAAGCTAATTCGAGCCTCCATGCCTCCATAGTTGGTCATCTCTATCATTGCCTTCGCTTTGACGAGTCTGCAAGTTGCGCAACAGTACTATGCCTCCGCTGCAGGATATTCGAATTGCGACGAAAAGGTCATGGGCCGTTGGAGCCTGTCAAAGCGTCGCAAGTTTCGTTTTGACGAGCTACGATTTGAGGTTCAATTCGAGGCACCGGTCATCTTCGTCTGCCCCCCGAGTAACAGCCGCGGCCCCGTCGCCAATAAGCCGATTTGGTACATCGACGGCACCGAGCAAAGCCTCAAGCTCACTCGCATCGAACTCGACTCCCAGGACGCTGGCAAGGCAAAGCAACTGACGGCCGGGCAGCGGCAGAGACAGGAGAAGGACAGCATACACACAGCCGACAATGACCGCGCTACGTGGGTCACGATGCTCACGGAGCTACAGCGGATGGAGGATGATTCACGAGTGTGGCAGAATGAGCAGTACAAGAGGAAGCCAGAACACCCGCAGGTTGAGTTCAGGAACCACACTCTGGCAGTGGCAGTTCAGAGCAAGCCTCGAAGCTGGGACACCATGCCCTCGAACGTGAAGAAGCCATATGCCACGACAACAATGTGCCATATGATTGAGATGGCGGCCATATTGGGATTGCATTGGAAAGAGTTTGACCGGTCAAGAGACAAATACAGGGCAGAGGGAAATGGCTGCGTACTGACGGGCACTCATGTTTCCGATTTGGGCATCATGTTTACTTTTCAGATTGCAGGGAAGAGAAAGTTCACGGACAATCGGCTGATCCCCGTCGACGAGGCCAAAGAACTTTGCTTCGGATATGTTCCCACCATCTTTCGGAGCTCTAGTGATCCTCGGCGACTTGACCCGTTCGAAGAGCCCAAGGATATCGAAGTTATGCAGTTCAGCAGCAGGGCCGAGATTGCTGAAACTGTCACTTTGCTTGGATGCAACAAGAACACGTCAAATTATTTCCTGAACGATGGCAAGAAACATAGCCATCTCTTTCCAAGTAGGTGCCCTCTCGGCCTTGGCTGGTATCTAAAAGGCTTGTTTGACCGCTGTTGTCTAACTACGTGCAGTCGCCTTCGAAATAATCGGCATGTTGGGAAAATCGCTCCACATCAAGAACAGTTGTTTCCGCATGCTACCTAATCCTACCATATATCACTGGGACAAGAAATTCTTCTCCCTGCGCAAGCTCTTGCATGAATTCCGGAAGAACGTGGGCAACAGCGATCTCACATTACCAACGGATCGAGTTGCAGCAATTGAGGTTTTAGCTGAAAGGGTTGAGGATTCATGCAAAGTAGCAGGCGGTCATGAATATCCACTAGCCTTGACTGATGCTCTTCATGACTCTATTGACAAGTGCGACGAGTTTCTACGCGGAGATTCTCGGTCGACTGTCTTGCTCGTTATACGGCACCACCTACAAGAAGTCCTGGCTATGCTGAACGAGGAGAAAGTAGCGGATGCCGATGGCGATGGCTCAGACGACGATGTCGAGCCACCGAAATTTGAGGACCTAAATGCTGCCAGTCCTGAAGAAAGACAGAAGAAGTTCATGGAAATCTACTTTGTTCTGGTTTTGGACCGCGTCAAAACGAAGGTCCAGCGGGCAACTCTGAGGAAGAGTAGGACTACGGCGGGGACGGACTATAGCAATGCAACGCTCTATGTGCCGTATTCAGGAACACTGCGACCCGAGACACCTATATCTGGATCTGTGACTCCTTCGCCGTCTCCATCACCTGAACCGCTTGGGCGAGATGAGAAGGTGGATGTCAACGGCACCCCCAACCCTGATGCTAGCATCATACGCTCGACGCTGCTACGAAAGCATGACAGCGGGTTCATGGAGGGACGAGCTAGCGACATTTGGTGTACTCTGCAATTCCGTATGCTATGCTGGCTGTTGCTGCACGACTTCCACAAGAGAGATGTGCAGAATGTGAACAAGAGCGAATTGCTAGGCAGTCGGCTGCCGGTTTATATTGCCTGACTGCATTCATCCATCAGGGCAGACACTTTGCATTATATATCTGGGTCGAGTGAGCCCGACGGAATGTTGAGATTGGTGCTGATGCATGGGGAATCTCATATGGCGAGCTTGTCGTACATTTCTTTACAGCATGATACCAAGGCTAGGACTGTCGGCGTTCTTGGATTTTGTAGAATACCAAAAAGGCATATTACTTTACACCAACTTCTTGGACAGCCTGTTATAATATAAGATGCGCTGGTTTGATAGCAGAGGTCTTGGCTTTGTGGGCTAATATAGGCCCCGTCAGATGATATCCCAGAATACCTAGTATCACAACATAGCTACAATAGAACGCATGAATGAGCTGCGCATTTTTCTTGTAGCCGTTGGAGAAGCAAGCCGCAGGGCTAGACTATCGAAAGTACTGTCGATGATAACCTGCTTGGCTTCGAACGAGAAAGCAGTATTTACGAAAGGGGAAAGCCAATCAAGGTGCAGGTCTGCTGAGTGATTTGCCACAGCTGTCGCGTCCCTTGCCATATAAATGCATCACATAAACTGTTTGGACAATGCATCGGCACCTGGCATGCTCTCATGGATAATGCATCAAATGGTGTGTTCCCGGGAAGATCAATGACTGCTCTTCATGATTGCTCTGATTTCAACAGTGGCGATCATTGCACCAAAGATCTACTGGTGAATGCATTACGGGAGCGACAAATGATGTGTGACACTCTGTGGAAGCAGATGAAGAGAATGCAGTAGTCTGAATTGACTTTCCTCGCCTCGCCGTTTTGTATGGCTGCCCAAGTACCACTTGTCAAGCTATTGGCCGGCCAGGTAGCACAGCATCAGAGGTTGCGAGGACAAGAATTCGCCTCACCTTGTGCCTGCCTGGGTCTAGACACAGCGGCCCTTGGAAGCAAGTTAACCCTTCTACTTGGAAATAGCAAAGCAAGTTCGGTAGAAGCGGCAGTATACCTAGGTAGAGCTGTATCTGATGAAGGAGATTGACTAGGCTACTCTATGCCCCGTGACCTAAGGACGGGCTCACTCTGCTCTCAATTGTCCTTGTAAAACTGATCAGTCTATCTCCAGCCATTCGTGGCTTGCATGGCCTAAAAGGCGATCGATGCGGTGAGAGGGCACTTTACTCGGCCTGGCAATGTATGGCGGGGCGGCGGGACGCTGTGCTGGCATGGTCTGCAATGGCGCCCAAGCGTGCCAAGGTAACTCGGGTGATTAGGTTAAGGTAGGGAGGGTCGTGTATTAGTTACCTGGGTAGATCCAGACTCGATGGTCTGTCTGGCAAGCAAATTGTCAGGTAGCAGAACAGAACAGGGAATAAGCCGTCACCGTTGAAGCAGCCAATCAAGCATCATGAGGCGAGCTGGGAGTTGTCACTGGTGGGCTGGTTTCAAAACTACGGGCTGTTAGAGAACCCAGTGAGCGCAGAGGTTCCCTCAATTGCCGCTGGCTTTTCTTTCCTTTGACTCTTAATTTGTCCATCACCTTATGGGAACATCTTATTGAGCACGCCCCCAGGCGGGTTTCAAGGCTCAAGCGGCTTTATAGGCGCAGTCCTCCTCTACCACCTGCATCTTGCACTTTGAAAGTTGGGGAACTGAAGAAGCTCCGTTCCTTGACCGCTTGAGGCAGCTTGAGCTTTCGGAGCAGATGTTCCACAAGTGCTCTGCTAGAGGATCTGCTTTCACTCTCTTTGAACAACTCCAGCTTCCGTGTGGAGGCTCGACTTTGATCCAGTATGCCTTTCACAGAGACAGTGACGATTATCAATAACTCGGGCAAAATCATTAGCACTGTAAGTTGTGTAACCCTTCCGCTCGAGCAGGCTGGAAGTGTCTCTGTGCTCTACTACAGAGACCCCGCTGCGGAGACTTTCACGACAGCCGCCAGTCCTTGGCACGAAGTAATTCTAACGGCAGACTTGAACCAGGGCAAACACCTTGTCAGTATCTTCAAGGATGCAAAGGCCGCCTACCAGGAGAAGAAAGCATCACTAAGGTCAGATCGCGGGCTACCACCAGGCCCTGGAAGCCTTCGCAAAGCCAACACATTCGATGTCAGTCCTCGCGGGCCGCCCACGCAGTACGATGACGAGTACGACGAGCATGGCTACGATTACGCCGAGCTGGATGCATACCATCACCGGCAGTACATAGAGGACCACGGACGGAGAAGATCGGTGGATGATGCTCGCTCCCACACATCGAGCCGTAGAAGCCATGGCAGCCATCGGAGCAGGCGCTCGCATAGCAAGAACCATGGGCATGAGCCCAAGTCGCGGCCACCACTGACGGCAAGCAACTTGAGAACATTGAGTGAGGTTTCCTCGACGGCACCAAGCACCGCTCCAAAGGCATACCGTTCACCATATGCGGAGACTGCGCCGAGAGATATGGCTCTATCTCGGCCGACACTTAACCATGCAGCAACGATGAGCATCGTCCCACCAACACCAAGTGCACTTCAATCCCCTACCGAAACTCCACTGTCGACTCCAAGGCAAAGCGTTCTCGTCCACCGCCCACGGTCTGACCCATCATTGCGGCACAGAGGCAAGGAGATTGATATGAACCTAGCGTACGGCAACGTCCCTCCGGACCTTGAGTCTCGTGTCGACTTAGATCCAGCATACAAAGAGGTGCAGAAAGAGAAAGAAGCTCGTACGCTGATGGAGCGTGTCGAGGCGCTGCTACTGGAGGCTCAATGTCTTCACCACACGGCTACAGCGATCATTTCGCACCTCCAAGGTAACCCTGAGGCTGCCGCTGCAGTTGCTCTCACTCTAGCGGAGCTCTCTGCCCTCCTGGGCAAAATGAGCCCGGGATTTCTAGCCATTGTCAAAGGCGGTAGCCCGGCAGTGTTTGCGTTACTCGCCAGCCCGCAGTTCCTGGTCGGAGTAGGAGTAGCCGTTGGTGTTACAGTCGTTTGCTTTGGCGGATGGAAAATCATCAAGCGGATTAAAGAAGCCAAAGCCGCACAAGAACAGGCACAGGCCTTTGAGATGCAGGAACAACAACCCGTTCCATTCCCTGCTCCGCCCCCAGGGATGGGCGAGTTCGCTTTCCACCAAGGAGCAGCCTACGGAGCCGGTGGCCCTGGCAGTTTTGACGATGCTCTGGTACTAGATGACGAGCTGAGCACCATCGAGACATGGCGTAGGGGCATCCCGCCTTTTGGCGAAGATGAGAGTACTGTCGATCTAGAGTTGATCACTCCTGAGGCGGTCCGATCCGTTCGAGAAGATCGTTATCGCACTGAAACCGGAGATGCTGCCTCCCGCAAGAGTGGAAAGACTCATCGAACAAGCAAATCCCACCGAAGTCACCGCAGCAGAAGACACAGTGACGGAGATGAGGTGGAGATACCCGATAGGAAGAGCAGCAAGACTTTCAAACATCGAGAGGAAGGTGACGACATCTCTGACCGACATAGCGAGAGAAGTCATCGTAGTTCGAGGTCAAAACGTACCGACCGCACCACAATGAAAGCAATTGAGGATGGAAACCGAGACGCAGAAAACACCCTGGATGTAGTGTTACGGCCAAAGGAGAAGAAGAACAACATGCTGAAGCAGTTATTTAAGAAGAAGAAGGATAAGGCGGATACTGAAAGGGAGCGATCCGAGGTGTCAGTCATGGTGTAAAGGAATATTTCCCTGTCAATGTTTATGGCAAGTTTCCTGGCAGTCATTTTGGAGTAGTTTCCTGTTAGACAGGAGTTACACGGCGTGAGGTATGATTCGACATCAACATGAATAGCGAATAGCGTCCAACAATCAACGCAACTCACGACATGAAATTCACGAGAGTTCATCTCATCTTTCAATACCTTAAGCCATCTATCTATCAAGGACATGCCCGCCGGGTTTCGTGTGATATGACTCTTTGGTAGCTTCCCAAAACAGAACCAAGTTCCCAAGACCAACTCAAGGTGCTACACTTTCAGATGAAGCTATCTTTCTTTACCTCTTTCATATTTCCTTCCTCTTTCCTCTGTAGCTCTCTCGATCCCATCAACCCTCAGACAATCTCACTCAACCTCCTCCCAGAGCGTGCTCCTCACTCCCATACTACAACAGGGTGAAAGAGAAACCTGCCCTCATAAAAACCTGGCCGTTTTGCAAACGCTTCCCCCGCCTTCTCGATATGGATGATTGCGATATTCTTGCCTGTCCACAGCAAGGACGGGAGGAGAAGGGGAAGGGCAACGATAGTCATGAACTAGCCAGACTGGGTCCTCACTTTCCTGAGGAAATTTGGAGGAACATCTTGCTACATGCCAGTCCCGACGTGTTCTACTTCCTCCGTCAGACCTCTCGTACACTTTTACATGTGTCTGAAAGCTTGCTGACGTTCGAACGATGCATTCTGTGGCGCCCCAGCGCGCCATTTCATCGTGATGGATTGGTCTGGATGATCTCCGATGACCAGCAAGCTGAAGCTCGCCAGATGTTGCTACCGACTCGACTGTGCGAGCCATGCCTCAATTTCCGACAAGACGACAAGTACGAGTCCGCTAAATCTTATCTTCGCAGCACAAAATGGTGCTCTGGCTGCGAGTCTGAGCATGCCACGATCTTCTTCTCACCGGCGCAACGAGCCGCCCCGAAAGAGCAACGACTTTGCATTGGCCGGGAAGGCTCTGCATGTATTTGCAAGCACAAGCAACTCAACTGGGCGCTCACTGAAGTGGCGGACGATAGACATGAGCAGCAATCGTCAACATGCGAGCACCCTGTTCACAGTGACCCGTCGAAATTGACCAGCGATGTCAGCAAAAGCACATCAATGTTCCCGACTTTCACAGTTGGCGTAGCCCGTACCACATCCCGTGAGACGTACCGTGAGGTGACGTTTTCATGGAAGGTACTTGCTTTCAAGCATTCAGTTCACGAAGAGCTCACTTTCAGCACTCTCCGCCAGAAGCTGAAGTTAATGAGTAAGAACTTCCAGCTCGGATTCTGCCCTCACATATCCCTCGATGACGACAGCCTCTTGCGCCCCTTCGATCCGATCTATTGTGGATGCCTGGCTTCAGGTCTTCCGATCCGGCACAACCCGATCTTATGCAGGACTCGTGGTCGCGCGTATGATTGTTGTTTGTGCCAATCTACCAAATACTCAACCATCGGAACGTTCCTCCCTACCAAAAACTCCGAGCAACTAGCTTCCCATGTTGCGTCCTGCTCCGATTGCAACCTGGAATACCAATGGACGCGCCTGGAGGATGAGGTGTTTCTTAGTGTCAACATGTGGCAATCAATTCATGCATCAGATCCGACCGACCCTCGGTGGTTAACACTCCTAGACTCCGACTCTATCCAGCTGAAGAATGACATTTCAGCAAAACATGTCTCCTGGTGTGATGATGGCAATTGCGGAACAAGTTATCGACGTCGAACGCACCAGCGTCTGCTGGAAATTTTTAAACGTCAAGTGGACCAAGAACTCGAACACAAGAGGGAAGAAGCTGAGAGAAAGCTCGCAGCAGAAAAGGAGGCTGTGAGAACGGATGAAAGGGCAAGGGTGCCGGCTTCCTTTCTACCTGTTTTTATGTAGTTCCGCCGGGCAGGCTGGATATATGACAGCAGGACGAGGGGATTTTGATCCGTTGGAGTGATGATAATACGGCATTATTAATGTACATACTATTTCAACAAAGCCGACACAACCAATGCTGCTTTTTGGCGTTTAATTATTGTCTGTGACTAGGTGAATAGCTAAGCTACGTATAGATTATGACTACATGGCCTTTGGGTTTCCCAGCTGGCTCTGGAGACCACGTTTGTCTACCTGCATTGCTCTGGTAAGCTCTTGCTCTTCCTCGCGTAACATTGCTTTCGAATGGCGTAGTTTCTTTTCTTGTCTTCTTTTTTCTTCTTCGACGGCATGCTCTCGATCCCGCAGTGCCTTCTCCCGTTTCTTGCGATCTTCTCTAGCCCGTTTGGTGGCCTCGTCATCTTCATCTGCTTCACCAGCCTCCGGTGGAGGGCCCAGGGTTTGAATGTATGCTTCCAGTAAGGGATCACGAGTCTTGGGATCCAGGGAGATGTAGCGAAGGTCAGTCACAATTTCAGCTGGTAAGTGTGACGGTAAAGTCTGGTTGTTCAGTTTTGAAGACGAGATACTCTTTAGAAGAGTCGTGAGGTCGGACTTCAGGGTCGACTGTGGAAGCTTTAATCGGCTGATATGCTCTCGATACCACTTCTCGCGGTCTTTGTCGGAGAGCGATGTGTCCTTCATTGCCGATTCTTTCTTGTATTTCCTTTTGAATTCCGGCCAATACAGCTTCGGGGTTGCTTTCTCTTGGAGAAATGCAAAATATGGTATTCGAGGGTCTTTCTTCCCCTCCTTGGCTCGTGAGTCCTTCAGCTCCTTGATTTTCTCTCTCGACCACTCCTCCCAGACTTCTTTCCTTGCTTTCATGGTGTTCACAACTGTATAGCGGGGGTCGTCGAAGACTCTGCCCTCCTCAATGAGCTTCTCCCACGGACTGTATGGGTTGATATGAAAGTCGTTGAGGAGATCTTTGAACAGCGCCCTCGAATCTTCCTCTGAGAGCCCTAGACCCTCCACTCCTTCCGGCCACTCATCCATATTTCCGTCATCGTATTCTCCTGGTTCTAAGCCGTAATCTTCGCCCATAGCTTGAAGTTGATATGCAATATCCGCTTCACTGAACTCCACCGGTTGGTCTTCGTCTTCGACAGGTTCTTCTGTCCTTTGCCGCTTCGAGACGTGCTCGTCGTCCCCGCTGCCTCCTCCCTCGGCCTCATCATCTGTGACTTCGACCTCTTCGTATTCAGAACTGTCGTAATCGCCAGGCTCGCCAGGTCCGTCCTCACTTTTGTGTGGGTTCTGACCAGCGTTGGGAGTAGCTGCGTCTTTGTTCCCGTTCGAGCCCCTGTGGGAGTCATCGACACCAGCTTTTTCGCGTATTCGCTGTTGATCCAGCTCGAGGATGCCTGCCTTCAGCTTCTCAGGTATGCGCCAGAAGCTAGCGTTCTTCACTGGGTGGTAGGCGAACCGTCGCCCATACTTGGTGGATACCAGGAGCCACGGCTCGCAACCTGGGATTGCAGCTTTTGACCGTGGCTTGTCGATGGGCTGCGGTCGTGGCCGGTCGTGTCCCCCTCCCCTACCTCTCCCCCCTCCACCGAAGCCCCCGCGATAGCTCTGCGCTGGCGGTGCATTGTATTGTGCCATGTAGGCGTTGGCGACGCGCGGGTCGGATAGATTGATCTGCGGAACAGCTTGATGTTGCGCGAAGCTTGTCAAGGGGTCCATCGGCGCCACCGCGCCGGGGCGCGTGTAGGTAGACTCTTTCGTTTCGGCATTGAAGAAGTATGTGTGACCTGTGGGCGCCTTGTGCTCTGTCCAGCCTGGCGGCAGCGGAGCCAGGGAGGCCGCTGAGGGCTTGTATGTTGATTTCAACATATCAGCGAACCCTCTTGTGGGAAATCCGGGCGGACGAAGGTTCGAAGTTATAAAGCTTGCGAAACGTGAGTGCAGGAACGGATGCTACTTGATGGAAGTGAAAGTCTGCTTGACGAAAGACAAGCCTTGCAGCTGTCCGCCAGCTGGTCACCGGCTAATAGCTGGTTTAATTTGTCTACACAGCTTACCTCGAGAGTCTATCGGTGCCGCTAATCCCCAAACATGATCATTCAATCTACCTGCGCTTTATACACTCTTCTTGATCTGGTATTTAAGGGTCTTATCTCTCTCTCTCTCTCTTTTAAATTCGCTTTTTTATTAAAAAAAGTTGATGACGGCAATTGAAGACGCAGATACTTGTGATCGAGGCAGACTGGGCAGACTACCAAGACATTTGCAACCATCTCTAATTTGAACACGAAGTGACGACCCCTTTTAGTGCCTCAAAATAATCGAACAGGAAGATCTAAGTGTCTTTCACATTGGTTGGGGATTCAAATATAACAGACTCATATTCAAAGCCATGATGAAGGGTAATATCCGAGAAGTAGGAATGCGAGGCGGCCATGCATGAAGATTTCTGGCAACTTTCTGCGCCACTAATGTAAGCAACAACTTCAACATTGCTGGCTTGCTTAAGTAAGAGAACTTTACTTTTATATAAACACACTGCTATGAAATTCAAGATGCAGAATCATTCCTCACAAGTCTTCTCTCTTGATAAACCTAATTTCCTTCAAGCTCGATATAGTGCCAACCCGCCCTCCCGGCCCTTCCAAAATCTACCTTAAGGCTCTTAGGACTTCAGTGCTGTAATTTCGCATTGTTTTTTTTTATAACCCTTTGGCTGAAGACGAAGCTCATTCAGCTCTCAGTAGCAACGACATGGGCGAGTCGGGTTTCGCAGTCCCTTCGGGGCAACATCAACATGGGGTAACATGTTGAGCCTTCACCCTCGACTAACGAGTTCCTAGTACCGGCATATGCATCGTATGACATCCTGCTTATTTTTCGTACAGAATTTCTTCCAGCTGCGGTGTTGGCTCTGATCATGGAGCTTCTTTAATCCAGTCAATGGCGATTAATAAGCGCTTGTCAGAATGTGGGGCCAAGGCCAGGCGAATGAATCGTTAACTTCGGATATAACAACAAGGAAACAGCCTGCTGACGAGAGTCTCCATTGACGTTGCTGAGACGTTCGAGACTGGGAAATCAATAGCAGGTTGAATCACGAGAGGACATGACTGGGTCTACTGAGCGGAGACGCTGTTGGACTTGTCGTGGTGAGTTGAGGTGTCATAGATTGATGGTTGACCTTCTCAAGTGAGGTTGCTAATCAATATTCTCTGCAAGAACGTAAGATTGCCTGCGACAAGGCCATTCCTGCTTGTTTGAAATGTCTTGAGAAGGGCAAAATATGTCCAGGCTATGGCATGAAGCTGTCGTGGCCACGTGGGAACAATCCGAGCCGTTCTGCACAGGGTAACAAACACTACATTCAGCCAGTCAGGGATGTGAAATCGGAGTACATCAATGTTACGACAACGGACATCGAAGCGTCAGAAGATCGATATCCAGCAAGTGAGTCGAGATTTCAGGAATCGAGGTTCTCAAGTGCTGAATCTAATTGACACAGCTCACTCTCAATATTCGGATTCGTTCACCCCTCGGAGATCGTTGGAATTAGTGTCAGTTAGGGAATCGGAGCTGGACCCCTTTTCCCTGTTCGACTGTTTGTATACCTCTGAGGTCCCATGCGAAAGTCTCTTTTTAACACTGAGGTATAGCTCGGAGCCCTGTTGCGAGACTTTTAGCTACATATTCGGTTGAGGATCATCTATACCAACTATTAGCGCGAATCTCGCTGAGCGACGATACACCGGGATCGCTGGCACCTCGTCATGCATTGTCAGCAATATCGTACCAGCACTTAGGAAGACACGATGAAGCAATGCTACATCAAGCGAAAGCTCTGACGGCTTTACAAACAGCAATCAGCAATCCTATAGATATGACAACTGCACTTCAGACGATGGCGTCAAGTATGCTGCTGAACATTTTTGAGGTAAAATAGCTTGAGAACGTAGACAACCCATCCATCCTGCCGCTAATCAATCATTTAGACTATGAATTTTGACGGATCGTCATTGAGCTGGGCGATCTTCTTTTGTGGAACGAAGAAGATCGCCAAAACTGTTCACAGGCAGAATAACACTTATGAAGGCGACCCGGCTCTTATCCTCGATTGGGTATTCTACCACGATGTCATGTACAAGTTCAGCATTCGCCATTGGAGCGACAAGTTAGAGCAACAGATACTGTTAGCGGCCGAAGATAAGATCGTATCCAAAGCAGTGTTTTCGCCGTTACGACAAGTTGTACGTGTTCTCTCACAAAGCAAGCATCAAGATACTAACAAACGGAAAGATACTTCCATCTCTGGGCTGCTCTCTTGAATTGTTGGACGTAGTGTGTCAGATCGTCGAAGTTGTTCTAGATCGCGACGATCCACATTTTCGATCTGACCAACATCTCGCCGCCATCAGAACTCTCGAGTTGCGCTTGGAAAGGCTTGAACAACGAGTGTCAGCCGTCACTGAAGATGTAGATTGCGACACAAGGGCTACCAAGAAGCTGGCAGAATTGTTTCGCTTAGCGGCGTATATCTATCTCGAGAGACTAGCCAAAGGCTCTGAAAGTCAGGAGACCAAGGTGAGATGTCTCTTGGACGATGCCTTTGGCCTTCTGCGGGAGCTAAAGGTGTGCGAGCGTCCATGGCCGCTTTTCATCATTGCACTCGAAGCACGAACGGATGAAGAGAGGGTGCTCATCCTGTCCGTTCTAGAGCAGTCATTGATCCAAAGACCGATGGGCAACTTAACAATCACTCAAAGACTAATACACGCGGCGTGGATACAACAAGACTTACATGCCACATCTGCAATCGACCCGCTTCTTGTATATAACACGGTGGTGAGTGGGAATCGCGTGCCACCGTCATTCACATAGAGCAATAAAATTGAACTTGATACCCGACTTATATAAGCCTGTGATCATAAGCTTATCGGTCTAGGGTACACGAAGATGTCAAACCCCGAAAAACCTCTCCATTGATGACTAGAATGCAGCAGTCCCAAAACTCCATGCGATGCAGATGCTGTTGGTCCAGTGGGCCTTACCAAATACGCTTTGCAATCATCTCATAACGGCTAACGGTGCTGAAATCCTTATCCTCGCCTCTCTTTGCCTCGTCTCGTTTCTCCTTTGCCCTCGCCTTCCTCAGTCCCTCGGTATCCTCTCCATATATCCAACGCCTCTTCTCGTCGCCAACCTCAACCTCGCCGTGTCCGCCAACCCTCTTCCCCTTAGCGTCGAAGGTGTCACGCTCAGTCTTTCCAGTGGCAATAGCGTGCTCCTTAACTTTCATGCGTGCATACCGGTCGCGAGAATAGCGAAGTAGGACCATGCCCAGGAGTAATTTGAAGATGAGGAGGACTAGGAAAGCAAGGAAGAAGACAGTAACCATCGTTACCAGAGCAATCGCGTCATCACTAGTCCAACTCAGCCAGAGCTTCTTGACAGAATCAGATGCGGCGCCATAGGGGTAGCCATAGACGGCGCGTCCTAAAGCAGTGCGTATGACATTGTCCAAACGATCAAGCGCGGCGACCATCGCCGGCGAAGATGGGGTCGCAGACTCAACCGAGAGGGAGGTTTGAGTCGAAGGAGGAAGGGGCGCAGGTAGATGCGTGGCTAGAAACATATGGTACGTTTGGAACGACGCACGGATGAAGAGGCAAGAAAGGGGCAGTAGAGGAAGACCAAGTCGGCGGGTCAAGGATGGCGTCACAAATGCCTGTAGACAACAATTAGCAAGGGATTAGGTGATGAGAGCAAACGGAACCAAGGGACTTACATTAGTGTAGTAATCTTTGCAAAGGATGTCGAGTATTCGCCCGTAAAAATTTGGTTTGATGTTGTTAAATTTGTTTATATATGCATGCTTGATCCAGTCGACTAGCATCTCACTGCCGATGACGACGAGGAAAGGAGAGAGAACTTCACCGGACCATAGCCAAGAAGGTAGAATTGTAAAGCTTGCTGGCAAGTTCGACGGGCTGTGCAGAGGCACTGTCGTTGCTGCCATGCCATCCTCCCCGATTTCGCTACCGGCGCCAGGAACAGACAATCCGCCAACTTCAACAACGTTGCGCATGCCGATTATTAGTAGGATAATCCAGAGCTGAAATCGCTCAACAATATCGGCACACGTGAGTTGGAAAGTGTTCTCCTTTTCAAAACGCTTGAAGACACTGCTCTTGATTTCGACGAACTGATTTGACATGAGAAGCGAGAGCAGGGCGTTTGAGTACGAGTTGACTGCCACGTTGAGCGTGATGACCTGATAAAACAAAACCACCACATGGGCCACATTATAGATCAAGGAAAGCAGGAACATTCCTAGAGGCAATATCACCTTTGATCGTCCTGAACTATTGCGCGAGAGAGTCTCCGAACTAAAGAGGCACTCAAAGATGTCTTGGCCGAGAGCTGAAAGAAGGCGGTCTCCAACCTATTATAATTTAGTCTAATGAGAACTCAACAGTACTCTAGCTAACTTACCTCGACTAGATTGTAGATGACGTAGAGTTTGACGGCGGATTGTGCGCGAATGAAATGATACATACGGCTAGCGTCGATATTCATGAGGGCCATGCAGCTGAAAATGATGACGGCCCCTTGGAGAAGATCAGCCTTGTGGAAGGAGGTAAGGTTCGAAGGCATTGACTTTGTTCTTCGATGTCGAAACGGTGTAGGATGCGATCTTGAATGACCACGAGCGGCTGCATGAGCATGTCCATTGCCAACCGCCCTACCATTCTCTGGTCGATGTAAGGACTCAGACAAGACTCCATTGGCCGTCGGAACAGAACCGTTAGAAGCATCCCGAGCTCTGCTACGGCTGCGAGAGGTGTCTGTACTTGGTGCACTGTCATGCCCTGCGGTTCGTGACATCGACCGTCCCCTGCGCCCTCGCTGCCACATACGGCCAAGACCCTCCCAAACAAAACCCACTAGCCATCGAGTCTCCTTGCCAATGATGTAGGCCCACCATCTGACCAGTACTCCAAAGGCCACACAGAATCGAAGAGGTAGAATGGTAAATGTCCATAGCCATGCATCCAGACACGCCAGGGCCCCAAAGGTAAGCGTCCTCTCGAGGTAGGATGGTAAGACGAGAAAGTTCTTTAACCGTTCGAACTTGACCGCGCTAGACTCGTAAGGTATGTCATTCGCGTAGGATTGATGTATGTACAGGGGACTGGGCCGTTGTGCGGCAAGTTCGAGCTGTAGTAGGGTGGGTACGGACAAGGGCGGAAGAGGGATGGCTGGTGGTATAGGTGACGGCGGTCTGTGTTCGAGAGATTCCTGGCGAGCTGAAGGAGCCGGTGCAGGCTCCTTTGGTGTGTTTGAGGGAAAGTTGCTCCCGCTCTCAAGATTGAGCGGTGCAGGTCGAGGTGCGGGATGGAATGAGTTCCGACGGGTTGAGGAAGATCGAGCGGGCGGTTGACTGGCAGAAGTTCGGCGACTGACAGGAGGCGTCGAAACCGTTCGTGTAGAGACGGCGGGCCTGCCGAGCTTCGTGGTCCTGTCGCTCGGTGTATCGGGAAGGCCATGAGACCTCAAGGTCTCGATGAGGTCGGCGCTAGGTTTCCGAGCATTCTCGAGTTGTGTAGCCATGGACGGCCGGCCGCTTCCTTCCGCAAGACTTGCGGAGAGAGGGTAGTCTGGAACAGTAGCAATGGGTAGCGATTCGGGCGCCGCAGTCAATTCCTGTATCTTGGACGCGGATAGACGCCGGACATGGCCGTGGTCGCTGGTTTTCGTGCCGGAACGACTCCGTGACTTCGGAGCCGAGAAGTCCTTTGTCGCTTGCTCTTTAGGCGGCTCGGGAGAAAGGGCGTCATGTAACCCCTTCTCGATCCGGTCCTCCTGAGACATGAACCCTTCGGCTACGTAGCCATTGCTCTTCTGATGCTCGCGCTGCATTCCGGAAGGATTTCTGGGGGTCGTCTCGGTTTCTGTATCGGTCGGGGTCGATAGAGGCGAAGGGAGGTGCCCGTTGACGGGGATCCCTTCACTGGTAGATGTGGCTCCATCTTCGGCTTCCCCAGGCCTTACCAGCCTTCCCTTGATGTTCTCGGACTCTAAGGAGAGGGGGGCTGTGGGGATCTCGTCGCTATCGGTCGCCATTGTCGATGTTCCGTGTCTGTGGACGGGGTCGCCGCTCGCAGGCATCATTGCAACCTCCGTCATGTTTATTCCTTCTCAGCTGGGCTGTCTGATGCCCCAGGTCGCTGTAGCCACAAGTTAGATGCAGTGGTCATCGTCAACCACAGGGGACTTCTGAAAGCTGCCACAGTGTTGCAATGTAGGGGACGTGTATGATTGAAATCAAGGTGGATAAGAGATTGTCCCGGAAGAGAAGCCTTGTAGGTGCTGCTGTCAAAAGCTTGGTGCTTGTGCAACTAAAAGTTACCTTATCTTAGCGTAGTGCAAGTGCAGGCGGCGTGCGGCATGTGCCAACCTTCGGTGCGGCAGCGGCAATCGTTGATGACGTTGGGGTCTTCGCAGGGGCTATGTGTGCATTTTCAGTGGACGTCCCCCGCCTACGGATTGGCACTCATCTTATTATTGGCAATTTAGGTGTCTTTAGCCGCCTTGCGCCAAGTCAACCAACTTTGGAAGTCAAGCGAGGGCCAGAACAACGAGAAGCAAATCACAAGCAGTAGAAATTCATGTTAGTTAGGTACCCCTATTGCAGCCTTCGCGATGGAGTTGGCTTCTACGATATCTCGCCTGCGACAGCCACGGGTGACGGTCTGTTCTGGCCTCTCCGCTGCTATCCTGGCATCCCTCTGTATATCAGCGCTAAAAGCCAGGAGTAGCTCATCCTCATGTCTACCCGCATTTGCGCGGCGCATGCGGCTTGTAGGATGAAGAGGATTGCGGTGAGTCAGATCGGGAACATCGTCTTTCTATTCGACTCCTCGTGAAAACACCATCCTTTTGTCACCATCTTACTCGAGGAGTCGGCACATCAGGACCTTAATGTTGGAATAGACAAATCGGAAGTCTGCGATCTTTTACAGTCACAAGGAAAGACAAGCAATCCCAACTTAGCGACCCCAGTCCAGAATTCACGATGGGATCCTCTGTTCAACCTAAAGCGCAGAATGGGAAATTCCAGGTTGGATTCCCGCCTGTTGCCGCTGCAGAGAATTCAGCATTGATCCGACATCTGGTCGATGTTGTCAACGCCGTCTACACCAAGGACGAGCAGGGCATATGGGCCTCAGACAAGCCATTCGCAAGAACAGACGACGACGAGATCAGCAAGTATCTTCAAAGTGGGGAGCTGGCTCTGGCGTGGGCATCCGACACATCCAAACCGGCAGAGCCCGGCTTCGTCCCCGAGCCGTCCTCCGTCATGGGGTGCATCCACCTGCACCGGCCGGAGGAGCGCCTCGTGGAGGTGGGTATGCTCGTGTGCGACCCGGCGTTCCGCGGCAGTGGCGTCGGGAGGGAGCTCATGCGTTTCGCCGAGGAGCACGCGAAGGAGCAGGGAGCCGCCGTCACCCAGGTCGAGCTGCTCTTCCCGGAGGGCTGGGAGCATCCCTTCAAGATGAGGCTGCAGGGCTGGTATGAGCGGCTTGGCTACAAGCTCGTCAGGATGGGCGAGGTCAAGGACAAATACCCGCGCCTGGTCGACAGTCTCGCTGGGCCAACGAGGTTCAAGGTGTCTGAGAAGCAGCTGTGAGAGCCTACCTACCTAGATAGATTTGTCTATTGGTCATATACCCATCTGGGTAATGTGTGTTAGACACATGGACACCTGGCTGGGCCAATATTCCCTAACAGGCAACGCCGAGAGGGCCACCGAGCAGCATGCGAACCAGCAAAGAAAAAAGACAGAAAAAAAAACACAATATTACCATTACAATTCATACTTATATGAGGATGCCAGCCGACGCATCTCATGAGAATTCGGGCATGCCAGCGATTTCTCGCTTAATCCCCCTTATATCCCTAAAATCCACAAACGCCGTAAAACGCCGTCATTAAGAGGCTCTCTGTGCCTCTCTGCTAGACCTGATGCCTCGGCCAACGGGGAGAATTGACTAAATAGAGAAAGACTTAGTCGATTAGATCAGTGAGTACGGCGTTACGGCTTAATTGCAGCAGTAAGAAAAGACCGTTTCGAAGGAGCAATTCGGTCCTGAAGTAGGTACGCCGAGCCAATCGCGTAGGCGGCGCAGTGCTGGCCTCGAGCTGAACCCGGGGGACTTGGACACGGCAGGGTTGACTCGGCCGGCCCATCTCAACTCCTGACTCTCCGAGTTCACCGTGAAATGCATCTCAACGTTACAGCCGATGCTCTGAGATACCAGATACCAAGGCAGCCACATCACAGTGCGTCGACATGGACCAGGTCGCTGTCGATCATGCTTGTCCGGCGACTCGCCAAAGGAATGGCTCGCTAGCTAGGAAAGTGTACGCAGCTCTATGAAGCCTAAAAACACAGAAATAGACACAACAAGAAGATTTCGAGAGGCGTCTCGACAGCTCGCGGGAATTGCATTTTATTGACAAGGTAACAACGTAGTAAGCCGGAGCGTCTGTTGTTCCCAGACCCAGGTGCTTTCTTACAGCCGCAAGAAGCCAATTGAACGGACGGATCCCGGACCGTGAAGAGTGCAGTTTTGGGGTCAGCCAGTCCAGTGGCCGGACCGGGCACCATCCTCGGATAGAAGCCTCTCCTGCAGCAACGGCTAGCCAACCGCCCGCGCAAAGGCAGCTTGACAGGCAGTATATCAGATACTGGAGAGTACGTGCGCAATGCTTCTCTCAGAGTTGTTGCTTGAGCACAAGGTGTAGATGGAGGCTCTTCCATGGCGCCAGGTTGGTTGAGCGGGGTTAGCGGGGTTACGCATAGGTTACTGTACGTAGGATTCAGACTCAATTGAAGTCGAACACATGAGATGTGTTTCATTAGAAACTTGGGCCAGGGCAAGACGCGGCGATTACCAACCTGGACACGGCTGCCGGCGTCTAAGAGCAGAATCGAGAAGTCCGTCGGGAATACGACATTCGTCACTTTAGTAGCCTTCAACATCCACTTACACTTACCTAAGGTGCCTTACCCTATCTTACCATACCAGACTTAGTAAGGCACACTGCTAAAGTAGTCCAAGCCGATTCAAGGCAGCGCAGAGCCAGAAGGACACAGCACACAGCACACAGCAGCAAGGACAGTGACAGGAGTGATGCCGAGAGAGATTTTGTTGACTCGGGACCCGCTCCTGGCGGGGGAGGGGTATTATTACCCAAGGTGCTATACTTTCCTATACCTTCGCAGAGACTCGATGCGAATCTCAAGGAAGCCTCCATCTCGACTCTGCTTCAGACACCGGCACCCACACATATAATAACCACCTCTTCCCGCCTCGCCTTCTGGCCGTCAACTTCTCTCTCCATCTTCACATCTTCCTCACTGCCTCGAGTCTCCAAGCTACCAGCCCTCACCACAGTTCTTATCACCTCAGAAACAATGGCCTCCAACCCGCCTGGCAAATGCTGCACCGTCGGTGTCAAGCACGAGTAAGTGCCTCCCCTTCCACCTCTGCGGCTCTCTCGATCAACGATGCGCCGGGTGCTGCGACAACCTCACAAGCTTGCGCGCAAACCCTTCGTTGCCGTAGTCTTGTTGAACTTCCCATTGTTCGCAAATCTGGGATCTTCCGAGCGCTGACCTCGATGCCAATAGAGGTGCCCCCACCGGCAAGTTCATCAAGGTTGGCGGCAAGCATGACGGCTACCTGGCAACGCCTGCCCCCGAGAAGGCCCACAAGGACGCTGCCATCCTCTACATCCCGGACATCTTCAGCATCTGGCAGAACTCCCAGCTCCTGGCCGACCAATATGCCGCCAACGGCTACCTGTGCCTGATCGTCGACCCCTTCAACGGCGACAAGTTCCCCGAACCTCGCCCCGAGGGCTTCGACATTATGAAGTGGTTCCAGGAGGGCACCAACGGCGACAGCCCCCACACCCCTGCGACTGTTGACCCTATTGTTGTCGCCGGCATCAAGACCCTGAAGGAGGAGTACGGTGCCAAGAAGATTGGCTCGGTCGGGTACTGCTTCGGCGCAAAGGTGAGTCGTCTATGAGAGCTGTGGTCGTGAATATGCAAGCTGACGTTTCCCCCTCTTCCAGTACCTCGTCCGCCACTACAAGGACGGCATCGACGTCGGCTTTGTCGCGCACCCGTCTTTCGTCGGCGAGGACGAGCTCGCAGCCATCACCGGTCCCCTGTCCATCGCTGCCGCGGAGATTGACGACATCTTCCCCAACGAGAAGCGCTACAAGTCCGAGGAGATCCTCAAAAACACCGGCCTCCCGTACCAGATCAACTTGTACTCGGGAGTCGAGCACGGCTTCAGTGTCCGCTGCGACCTGTCGAAGAAGCACCAGCGGTTCGCAAAGGAGCAGGCCTTCTACCAGGCTGTCGCATGGTTCGACAACTGGCTGCTGTAAGCCAGCCCGTGTTGTTGGAGAGATAGAGAAATGGCGACCGTGTGAATGAGGTTGGGAGGTGGTAGGAGGTAGAGAAGGGGGCAGAGTTCAGCCTCTGATCTCATACAGGGCAGCCATGTTGGTAGCTTAAATGATCCCGATTCTTTCAGACAGCTCAGTCTGCCCAATAATCAGTCGTGTATTGCCAAGGTGGTGGCACTTTGGTCGCACGGCGCCCTGTGAATCACACTGTAAGCGCTAACCGGCGGCATACTCGGTACTGTACATGTACATTGCATCTTCCCCAACCTTGAATCCAGTAAATCGTGAATGCGGATGACTTGTAACCCGGACAGTAGATACTCATTGATGGTAACGGAAGGAGAATGTGTACCTTTGGTGGTACATATCATAGATTATGACGATTCGCCCAGATCAATCGCATAGTTTGGAACAACAGCATGTTGACGGACTTGGCATTTTTCAATTGCCCTGCTGCTGACTACCAAAAGGTCGCTCGCAACACGAAATACGGAGTGATGCGCGGCCTTGCACTAAGTCGGTCTCAGCCGCAATGTCAAGCACGAATCGTGGCAAGGCACGAAGCCACTGGCTTTATAAGTATCAATCATCTTACTTGGTCTTCCGGAAGTCCCTTTCTTCAGAAAACTATTAAATATATGCAATGGAAACATGACTACCGATGAGACAGCAAGAATGCGTGCCGAGGCAACACCGCTGTTGGACTCCAATAGCATTCGGGATGAGGACGGCAACAGCAGCCGTGATGCCCCGACCGAAATCCAAACGACGAAGTCGCCTACCATCGTGATCGGCATTGTGTCCTTCATGATATTCTGCATGACATTGAGTGGGACGTTGTCTCTTATACCACTTGGTCGGCTGATTGAAGACGCCATTTGTCGTCGATACTATGGTGAGCCTGGGCCTATTGAGGAGAAACGCTGCAAGGTGAACGATATCCAGGCGGAGCTGGCCTGGATTGGCGGTCTCTATGTTGTCATAGGTGCCGTCGTTGGTAAGTCTCCTTCGACTACTTAAATTAGGACCTTCACTGACATTGCTGGAGAACTCATTGTGTCTTTCCCATGGGGGATACTCTCAGATAGGTTAGATTGGATCTACCCACTTGTATCTCTCGTTCTTGCTGACACTTATTTTCAGAATCGGTCGGAAACCCGTGCTCAGATTGTCATATCTCAGTCTCATCATTGGAGGTTGTTGGACTACTTTGATCATTGTTCGACAGGATATTCTGCCCATTCGACTATTGTTGGTCGGCCCTATCTTCTCGATCCTAGGCGGCGGCCTGCCCGTGATGGTAGCCGTGATACACTCCATCATCGCAGACGTAGCGACTGAGAGGTAAGACCTGCTCTTTGTAATTCCCAATTACATTTGACTGATCATTCTCAAGGGCTTCTGGGTTTCTACTAATGTCACTGGGCGCAGTGCTTGGAGGTGTTACTGGACCGGCGCTCGCGGCAAAGCTCATGGAGCTTTACTCGCCTTGGGTTCCCCTTTGGGTCACAGGCTTCATCCTTACACCTATTGCGTTTATCACGATCATAATCCTTCCGGAGACCCTTCACCTTCGAAGAACTGCTCAGGAGTCCTTCTCCAAAGACCAGTCGTTCGTTGCAGCTGTTCGATCCCATCTGGACCATGCCGTTGATCGTTTGGTCGAGTCGCTTTCCATGCTCAAAACGCCCTCACTCGCTATTCTGCTGGCGACGTTCCTCATACAGAGTCCAGTCCAGATCTCGGAAGGCCAGACACTTGCACAAACCATAAGCAAACGATTCCACTGGACACTAGCCCAGACAGGCTACTTGTTCTCAATTCGTGGTCTGTTGACCGTTGCTGTTCTGGGATTCCTCCCAGCGGTCTCGAGCCTGCTGACTTCGCCGCGGCTCGGCCGTTTTCAGCTCTCCGTCTTCCGCAAAGATATCGTCCTAGAGCAGATGTCCCTGCTCGCATTAGTTGTGGGAAGCGCGCTGACGGGTGGGGCAACCTTTCCTCAGGTCGTCGCCGGCCAGATGATCTCGACATTAGCGGTAGGAGGGTCCTCAATGGCCAAGTCGCTGGTCGCCTACTACGTGGATGCGGAGCATACGTCTCGGCTGTACACACTTGTGGGCATGATCGAGACTGTGGGCTCCTTCTTCGCGGGGCCGACGCTGGCGTGGATGTTCAACACGGGAATGAGGCTGGGGGGCAGGTGGATGGGCCTTCCGTTCTTCTTTGTGGCTGTCCTGTGCGCGCTGGCACTGGTTGCCGTTTGCTTGGTCAGAGAGCCCCAGGCTGCGAAGACTAACGATGATTGCGAAGCACCAGACGATGCTTAATTGAGACAGATGGAGATCAGGGTTGGCAACTTTGCGCATGTATTCAGTGTAGACTATCTCAATGTGTCCCTGAAGGCTTGGGATGGCGTTCTCTACGTTTGCAAGCTGGTTATAGAAATCTAATGTACTCTAATGTACAACGATCGATTACCACGCCTAAGCCCCATTGCAACGAGTTTCTAGGGAAAAGCAGCCTTCTGTCTCCGCGTCTTACCTTTTGCTATCTAAGACAGTTGCCATACAAATGTTTTCTCCAACAGGAGATTGAGTCTTGCAGACCCGCTGAGTATCAACAGAGCTCTCGCTCAGGGGTGAACATTGGATGCTTATTAGCGTCAACGCGGGGCACATTGGCGGTTGTCCTGGCGCATCTCATCCGGCAGCCGTCCGCTTAGATCGGCACCTCGCCAAGCATCCCAGTCGGATTTCGGCTTACGCAGTATGCTCTCAGCACGGCTTCTGAGTGTCATGGTGTGAAAGTCCTCTCTCACTCTCTCAAGGAATGGAGTCTCTTCGCATGCTTCACATGTTGTCGTTATGACGAGAAGACAAAGTTAAGAGGAGAGAACCATTGATCGCTCTAGATTCCACCCAGCCTGTTATGTAAGCGGGATCAGATCTAGGTATGCTTATCTGCTTTACACAGTACTCATCACCAGAGACGGAAATCGGGGCGTCGTGTCGCCTTGCAAGGATTCTCCTCTCCTATCCCACATCCTGAACGCCAAGCCCCTGGTTTTTGCCATGCACTTCCAGCGCATGTTAGCCTCAGCCGCGGACCCTCTTAACACCGTCTGCTGAAGTATCACACCCTGATGTGTTAAGCTAAACCTGCCCAAGCTTGAAGACCGATCAGCACCACTGGCAAAAGACCCTGTCTGACTGGCGCAGTCTCATGCTGAGCATGCCCCCAAAAGGGGCTAGAAAGGGGGAAGCCTAGTAGACAAGGCACTAACCAGTCTTGCTAATCTTAGGGGTTCTGCATACTACCTAGGTACGCGGACAGCACTGCACGTTAATTAGATACCTACCTACCCAGCCGTGGTGACCTGTACAAGGAGGCAGAATAGCAGATTTAACGTTAGCAGGTCGCGCTGGAGTAGAGCGGTGCAAGCAGGATTCGTCTGCAGATCTTGGCTTTTCTGTCACCCTTTCTCCCACCCCCCTCGTCCTTTTGGGCTGAGGATTACTTCAGAACTCTTTCCAACTCCATTATCATAATCACGGATTGGATCAGTCTGCCTTAGGGGATGGATTGCCGCCCAGTCATTCTTTAGATTGCACTTGTACTTCCTTCTTCTTCTTCGTCTTCATCCTCTTCATCTTCGCCTTAGGCTCTCCATCCGTCGTGTTATCGATTGTCTTAGATTGTTAATACTGGTTCTGTCTCTTCACGTTGCACGATGGCGCTACTGCCGTCGCTTCCAGCGCGGTTTTGCGCCACGCGCTTCATTCCAGTGGTCGTGGTCTGCCTCTTCTTCCTCGCCGCCGTGCACTACCTCGACTTCTCCGTCGTGCCGTCCTCTTTGACCTCACAAAAGGACAACCCAGATCACCATCAGCAAGGGCTTCCCGAGAAGCAAAAACCGGAAGAGGCCAATGGAGAGAAGGAGGCAGAAAAGCCTCAGTCCAAGCCAGAGGGCGGATGCCTTCCCGAGTTGCAGTTCCTCCAGTCGCCTGAGCTCGGGCTGTCGAAGAAATTCGAATACACCCGCCGTTGCGTGAAACCCGTCTTCTCCGCTGCTATCGACCGCGATGTCGTTTCCAACCTCAGCCAGCCGCTCTTCACGCAGAGCCTATCCGTCGATCTCGAATCCTGCCAGAGCATCGAACAAATCCCGTGCGAACCTCTCGAGCTCACCGTGCCGAACCCCTACCCTAAGAATAGTTATAAGAATTTCGTCTTCGCGGTCGCCACTTCATATGAGAGACTCGGCGTTTCAAAGTCAACGTTTGCGCACTGGATGGCAAACACGGACGCTTTGCTTATTGGACTGATAACGGATGAGGAGAAGCCGGACTCTCCCAAGCTTGATTTCCCTGCCCTTGAAGAAGATTTCAAGAAATCGGGTGTCAACCTGAAGCTCGTTAAACCCCATAGCCCAAAGCATTCATGGAAACACAGCCATCTAATGGTCATTCTCGACATGATCGAGGCGGCGACGAACGACACGCAGTGGCTGGGTATTCTAGACGACGATACGTTTGTTCCTCACATGCTGCCTCTTGCCGAAACACTCAAAGGCTACGACCACACCAAGCCCGCCTATATTGGCGCCCTGTCCGAGAGCTTCCAAGCCTGCCGCTTCGGCATGGCTGCCTTTGGTGGCGCCGGTATCTTCATTTCCGTCCCCCTCGCCAAAGAGCTAGAGCCGCATCTGGAGTCATGCCTCTCAGCACGAGGCGGCGATATGCAATTGATGGAATGCATCTACAAGCACAGCCATGCCAAGCTGCAAACCGTGCCCGCTCTCCATCAGCAGGATATGCAGGGTGACCTATCTGGCTTTTTCGAGTCCGGCTGGAGGTATCTCAGCCTTCACCACTGGAAGAGCTGGTACAAGGCACCGGTTGAGCAGATGGCCAAGATCGTAAACATCTGCGGTGAGTGCTTCCTGCAGCGCTGGGTCTTTGGCGAGGATACCGTGCTTTCCAACGGCTACTCCATCGCGAAATACCCGAAGGGGCTCCCCGATTTGAACAAGATGGAGGCTACATGGAACAACGCGGACAGTGGCGATTTTGACTGGAGTATGGGCCCCCTTCGAGCAAAGGTCCAGAAGGGGGATAAGAAGCTGTATCGACTCGTGGATGCCGTACCCACTGAGAGCGGCGGCCTACGGCAGATATTCGTTTTCAAAGGGGACAAGGAGAAGAACGAGAACGACGAAGTTATTGAACTGGTATGGGACGGATCATCATCATCATCATGAAAGCAGCGAGCGGTCAATGCTTGTATTGAAGGGAGGGAATCGGCGTTTTGCCTTTGGCTATATATTACATCCCATAAATAATCTTGAATACCCTATGTACTTACTTCGAATTTCACGTCGAGAGATGCCCTGGTTGCCTCACTTCGTTTTGTATGCACCGCAGGTGAGCTTGATCGAGGCTCGTGGGGATAAATAGATATATTAGAGCAAGACGTAGCTAGATCAAAAGCGATCGAAATTTGATACTAAACCCATCTATGAGACTGCAATTTGAAGTGGTACTGAAGTAGGCGAAGTCTTTTCTTTTCTTTTCTGCTTTAGAATATAACGAGATCACATACAAGTGAGGTATTTAATTTCTGGGCTCCTTCAGTCATTGATAAGCTGTGTAAGTCATCTTCCGTGGTCATTAAACATAGATCGTCAAGCAAGGCTTGAAACGAGATGAGACCAAAGCGTGGAGGATGACCTGTTCTTTGATTTGCATAACTTCATAAGCTACCCCATTGATCTGTTGAGTGAAGCCAACTTTTACATGTGTTCAAATCAGTTCCGAGTATGAAATTTAACCTGCAAGTTCCACTAGATATCATTCCAAAACTTCAGCGAAGATATTAGAGCTATGCAGCTTGCGGAAAGTTTCAACAGGTCAATAGACGATCGTGTCTTTGAATCACACTCCGACATACTTGCACATATAACCGAAAGTCCATTGTCTCTTAATGTTCTTATAAGAAAGCAAAAAAGTTACAGGGTCCCCAGATTGATTGAGTTGGGTTAAAACATGAGGGGTTTCAGCCTTAGATATGAACCCTCTGCGCATCCCTTTTCCTTCTAAACCAAGAATTGAAGCTGACAAGAGCAACCACAATTCAAATAAGCTATTCCAGATTAACAGCATGTATTGGTATGAGATGCTTCTTATGAATTGTTAGATCTATGGAGTATTGGAGCAGTCTCTGGCACTTGTCACGTGTAACGGAATTGAGTCTACTAGTCCCGCTCCGCTTACGGATCTAATTGTAGGAGCCGACCGCATCACCCACATCGATCGAACCACAGCCCTTTCTTCCCCGCGTTGGAGCTCCCGTCGCCCAATCGGCAAACAATTGCCCGGTCAAAGTCGATAATTTCCGGAGCCGAAACAGAAACGTTGATGCTCTGTCTTACCTCCTTACACGGAAGTGGTCCCACATCGGAAAGGGTGAAGCTGTACCATTCATTCGTATATAGCTGCAAGGCTCTGTATCATATCAGACACTTCAATGCCAGCGGTGCGGCCACGAAAGATACTAATTGAGTGCATCAAGAGACCCAGAGAGTATCCGCTCGCAGAGCCAAACATTCAAGATGACTTCATCGGCCGGCCAAGCGCTGCATGGCGGCGAATACCGCCAGTACTTGCCAGATCTGAGTATTCCGAGATTTACGACCATGCAGAAGCAAGATGCACATGTCTATGCTGCAGCTTTCAAGGAGGGAGGAGTACCGCCTTGGCTTCATGCTCTCTACCTGCATTGGCTAGAACTGTTGAAAGAACCTTTCAAGGGCGTCACGAATGATGGTCAGTACCGAATCAAACGTTTCCGTGTCGTAGAAATGTGCTGATCATACTAGGACACGTGAGACCTGGGTTATTTGAGTTGCAAGACGAGGGTATTCCAATTCAGGACATCGTTGAAGCTGTGAATTCGGTCTTGGCTAGTGTAGATGACCAACAAGCATCCCGATTGAAGTATCATATCGACTCTCCCGAGTGGAGGACCTGGTCGAACCCGGAGTTTCTACTAAGTGACAAAGGTATCAGGCTCGACGAGCTAAGCTCCGATGTGCGGGACAAGGTGTTGCTTATCCTACAGAAAACTCTGTCACCCGAGGGTTACGAAAAGGCTATCGGGGCTATGCGTATTAATGGCTTCCTCGGAGACCTTGTCAAGTCACCATCCGTCATGAACGAGTATTCGTACAATTTTGTTCTATTTGGCGAACCGTCAATCGCAGCACCGTGGGGTTTCTCGTTCTACGGCCATCATCTTTGCCTGAACATATTCTTTTATAAATCACAGATTATTACTTCGCCTTGGTTTACTGGAGCCGAACCCAACCTTATTGACGAAGGCCCGTATAAAGGCACTCGGATCTTAGAGGTTGAGGAGAAGATTGGTCTTCAGCTCATGCAGAGCCTGCCTTCCGATGCCCAAGCAAAGGCTCAAGTATACAAGGAAATGAAAGATCCATCTATGCCACACGGACGATGGAATCACGACGACCAACGACATCTTTGTGGTGCGTATCGGGATAACCGCGTCGTTCCTTATGAAGGCATTTTGGTTTCGGAGATGTCTTCGGAGCAACAGTCACTGGTGATGAATATCTTTGAACAGTACCTCCTCTTTTTACCGCAGAAAGCTCGACAATTACGCATCGAGCATATTCAATCCTGGTTCCACGAAACTTATTTCTGCTGGATTGGCGGGTACACAGACTCTGACCCTTTCTACTATCGTCTGCAGAGTCCTGTAATTCTGATAGAGTTCGATCATCACTCTGGAGTTTTTCTGACCAACAAAGAGCCTGCTAAATTTCATATCCATACATTACTAAGAACACCAAACGCGGGAGATTACGGCATGGCGTTAAGGTCTATAATACCGGGAAAACAGCAAGAATTTGTATGGGAGGGTGAACGGGACTAAGACGTATCATTATATTCCTACAATCGCTCTTGAGTCGTGTGATATATATTGATATTGGTAGTGTACATATCAATCAATGACTTGGTATAAGTGTGATTAGCCTCTTGGTAAGCGCAAATATCGAAAATGGCCAGAAGATGGACTTAGAAGAATTAGAAAAGAGGATACCGACGGGATCAAGACACGCTGCAGAGGTCACGGTAAAATGGCTATAAGAAAACGATCTTTATTCCCACGATTACCAACACTTACCTACTCATATGTAACTGTAGGAAAGATGACCATCTTTGTTTAACTTCTCTTAAGAAATAGATGACTTCTTGTTTCTCGATTGACCTGAAAGAAACAAAGTTCGCCTTACGATCTCAATCATGGTTGGATCCCTAGCAATATGGTCTGGGCACCTGTCAGGTGGTCTATGACCCTGGGACTCATAGAAGAAAGCGCACAGATCGAACCCATGTTTCGGCCCCGGAGCACTACATATGCGTCTGATGGTGAATAAATCCAATTGCGGCCAGCATTCGTCGACCAATTGTGAATCCGAAACCTGTCTGATTTCTGGGCCTTTGGAAGCTGGATGATCCGACGGCACAGCTTATTTGAGCAAAAACGGGTCGCTCCAAACTTGGCCAGCTATCCCAAAAGTCAAAACAGCCCGAAATCAGCATCTGGCGGTTACTTCTGAGTCCCAGTCTGTGACAGAACGAATTGCATTGGTGGGTAGCGAAGAAGAATTTGAACCCGTCCTCATTCAGATTGGTCTCTGTCAGGATGAATATCTTGGGGTCTTTGGTATGCATGACCGGATCTGTCAGCAAGAGGCTGACTCCTTCAAGATTGACGACTAAAAAGTGACCCATGGAGCGCTCAAAAGTGAAGTGCGAGAAGGCTTGAGCGGCCTCGGAGATAAGGTCATCGATTGTCTCCCCTTTGACGTAACCGCAGTTGCTGTTGTACTTCACATAATTCCCTTCAATGAATCTCTCCAGTGATTTGCAACTATTTTCTGAAGTAGTTCTCGATAAGGGCTGAACACATGTGGTAACTATAAAGTCGATGGCGAGTTCCGACTTGAGGCCTAGTAGGCCATTGTACTCGAGAGCAAACGCTCTACAGAGTGTTTGGACCCGCATATCTTCCATCATAAGGACAAACTCCTGGTCCTTTCGCTTTTATGACTTGATAACAAACCTGGTAAGTGAAAACGCTGTGCGGGCGTAGGATGCAGTACGTTGAGCGCCCTCAGCAAATGGCATTGACCGGGTGTTAATAGTAAGTTTTGTGACGCTCAGCTTGATGGTCATGTCAGAAGCCATCATGCCGTTTAGCGTATTGTCGTCGTGCTCGTTCATGTTCGGATAATACCCGTCGACCACAAGCGTTTGATTGAACCAGTCGCGCCTACCCCATTGCGGCATTCCGACCTCTAGATGAACGGCCACTTGCGCATCACTTGACCCGTACTCTTGATTTTCACAGGTGATCGGATCGGTTCTTTGGTTGTCCTCCTTCCACGTGGCCGGCCCGTTGTTCGCTCTCATGATCATCGCCCAGTGCACCCGTCGTCGGGCTGATATCCCTCGACACAATTATCGAGTCACGATCGCTTCACACAATCTCGTGATTGCAAACCGTTTCAGCATACGAAGTTAAGTCATCAAGGTATCGTTGTATGATGAATGCGGTGTCATTGTGCTCACGAAAGCTCTGGGGCAGCTGGGCTTGCAGCTCTTCAATCTTAGCTATGATCTGTTCCTGGCCGAGCTTTAGCTTCGTTGTGTCTTCTCGCATTGCCTTCGTATCAACTTTTATGTCTCTCGAAGGACACTTTTGCTCTTTTTAGCTTCTCGTCTAAGCCGCCTACTACTTTGGAGTAGATGAACTGGACAACTCACATTGTTAGGGTCTCTAATGTCACATTTAAGGCTCCCCTATGAGCCAACAGCGCTTCTCGTAGATTACTGATGTTTTTCTTACCACTGAAAGCCCATCTCGTCGGCCCAAGCGTGCCAGTATGGCTTTTGGCCACCCTATTAATCTTGCGCAACACCCGATCGTAATCGGAAATGATAGGGAGCACCTGTGTAGTCAGAGACTCTGGGATGGCAGACAGTTCATCCTCCTCTGTATCATCTTTCAGCCATTCAAGGATTTGCTTTAGGGTCGAGAGCTCCTGGCTGACTCCGAGCAAGTCGCCACGAGCCTCGCGGCATGTCTTGATGAAGTCTGTTAAGACAATGCTGGTTTTGCCAACAGTAGATATGAGTGCTAGAATACCCGTGGTGAGAGACAATGAATCAGCCATGGCCGCACCGAGCATGCGCTATCTGGACTCTTCGAGAAAAGCTCATGGTAGAAGCGTGCATCAATTTGCTCATCGCCTGGACTTCGTCCGTCGTGGCTGAATCACGAGGAACATGCAGCCTCCCTGGATAGGTTTAGCTCCGGGCAGACTTACCTGCCACTCGAGACACTCCTACCGCTGCGATGTATGATTCCTGCCCATGGTTGATCTCTAGAGAGATCGTCGTGGTATCAAAATGTTTAGAGTGATTTCTATAGATCTGTAGATGTGCCTAGCTGTAATTTGAGGTCTTTCACGACTCCTTACTCTCATTGGTATCGTACTTCGTCTCTAACTGCAAAGACTATACGGATCTCGCAAACATATTTGGCGAGAAACGTAACATTCGACTCACGTCATAGATGCCATACCACTTCTACTTATTAAACTTGTCAGTCGTGACAGTCATCAGCGTTGTCTATGGATATCCCCTATATAGCACCTAACTTGTTGCAGTCTTTAGGTGGCTTCGATGGTGACTTTCAAAAAGGGGAGAGTTTTGTGCCAATTGATAGCACAATCCATTTTCCGAATAGTTTAATTTCTAAAGACTGAACATTATAACCGAAACATTCTGTTTGATAATATGTCAATGCCGAGAAATTCGGTGAGATTATCAACGGGCCGAGATAGTACACATAGAGTCATAGACTCTCACTACTTGGCCAGTGATTTGACAACAAGATCTTGGTATATGACTACTGACGGAAATTTGACTTGGTGTGCTTCAGTTCGCCCTGAAAATGGGATGCGAGATTGCAAAAACCTGACAGATGTTCTGGATGATCGTCATCGCAAATTCAGGGACGAAAAGTATTTGCACTGGAATTAGAAAGCTATTTTCCAACCCCTGCACCCTTACGTAGATAAAATCATGTACATCGAACAGGAGGCATTAAAAACGTTCGGAGCACAATCTGACACCTCGTTACTTCATTTGACACAGGTATGCATCCAGAAGGATCAATGGTCGACGTATGAGCCGGAGATGCCTCGATAAATCACAACGCAAGCTGTGAAGCCAGTCGTGAAGCCAGTCGTGCGACGGGTTGCTCATCAAGGCGCAAACCCGATCTCTAGGCAATACATACCATCATATTGAAACTTTTGACGTGATGGTAACGTCTCTGGTGAGGCATGTTAGTTTTAGAGGCTTCTGTGTTGCTGGGACACCAGTCGTTTCGTAGTAGGCGGTCTTATAAACAGCAGAAAATGATATGATGGGTTCTTCGATGTTATAAACCGTTGTATGCTAAGTTAGCAGGATGAAGAGGGTTATTGTTAAGAGTTACATGCCTCTGTTCGTGTGGTCTGCCGTACCATACTCTGATGAGTAGCAAGGCAAGGGCACATTGCGGCACAAGCTCAACAGCTGCAGACTGTCTCGAAACACCCCAATCATCAGGAAACATGCTATTTGCAACACAGGACAAGTAGTCCTGCCATATCACCTAGATAGGTGGAGATGATGTTGACGAAGCAATTGCATGGCTTTAGCTTCCTAAGATCAATGAAGGTGTTCAATCATACGATAATTGCTTTGGACGGCTGTACGATTCAGCACAAATCTTAGAGCTTTGGGCTTATGTACTACATACTGTACAATACACATATCAAGACGCGATCTGTTACTAGACGTCTATATGCACTCGACGCTCTAGCGGTTATTCATTCTGACCATTCATATTGGCTAGGCAGCACCGAGCAGTCGAGGATCCTATAATTATGTTTCAGGTGCCTAGGAACATTCTAACTTGGGGGTAGCTTTCCAAGGCCAAGCACATTATGGAGGGGTGCTTCGGGATTGCTTGCCTACATCCCGAGAGGAGAACCCCTCGTCGAATTGAGAGACAGCTTGGCGCTGGTGGCGTTTGTCAGGTAACATGTACTGTCAAATGTTGATCACGAGTGTTGTGCAGGTACGGCGAACTGGATACCATCGCTCAGAAACCAAAATACAATATCATGCCATCGTTGCCAGTGTGCATGTACAGCTTATGTGTATCGATATAGAATTAGTTGAACTGATTGAACCACTGGCGGCCGCTCGCTCGTAGTAAAGTCATATATCGTACAGGCTGGTGAGTTCTTGACGGTCACGGCGTAACACCATTCGATGACCTCTTACGCGGCATATCCTAGAATTGCATGCTGTGGTGGGTTTGAAGGGACGGCTTACAACCGCAGCGTTACACCTTGCTATTATTAGGGATCATATCCCAGAAGATCAGTTCATTAATGAGCCGCAGACCCCTAGGATTTACTGTTGTTGCAAATTCTAGTGTATTAACCCTTGGGGGCGGGACTGAAGACTGGGCTAGAGACAGACCTACAAGTCATGTCCTCTTATCTTCATGTCCTCTTATCTTCACTTAGGAATGCATAACGAAACCTTTGTTCCTCTACAGGAAGGTGCTACAGCAGGGCAATTTTCCATAAACTCCCTCAAAGGAAAGCCATAATTGCTAGGTTTCAATTGCCATTATGTCCAGTCGCGTGCTGCGCCCTTGCCAGTCAAAAGTCCCATGGTCATGCTTTCGGCCTCGAAACAGTTTAGAGTACTGCAGTGCCCCCTGCAATTTAATATCGCTGTTCCATGGAAGAGGGCTCCAGCCTTCTCCTTCCATTCATCTCGAGTGCGGCACGGTATTAGTCTGCTCGCTGAGCAATGTACATGCATTCGTTTCCTTGCCCGTCCCCCGCATTTGAGAGACCAACCGAGCCACCCCGCGTTCTAGAGGGCGGCAAGTCTTTGAGGAAAGTCTGGTTGTGGCTGCTCCGCTTGGTGCGGATGATGCTGGATCTGCTGATATGCAGCCAATATTCATGCAGAACTGCACGGGCTGTCTTGTCTTTGGGGTCCACAAGACCCGCCAACAGTTGCTCTTCCGCGCCCGAGACTCAGTGCTTGCTTTAGGTCAAGAACTCGTATGTAATAGTAGATCACGCTGATGATAGGCACCCTACTCCTAGAGGGTCTTCCATTGGCGGGGAAAGGCTCTCGGTGCATTCTTCCGCATTTCCCATCCGGGCCTATTCAAAGCAGCCTACTAGGACTTCGAATGGAGCTGGCGAATCAGGGTATTTCCCTCGTTCGTGGATCTCATGCGGGACGCTATTATGTCTACTGCACATGGACTGCCGTGGCTTCTTGGGGACAGAGTCTGGTGAGCGCGTTGAGAGGTCTTGCTGACTGATAGTGATAGACGATACACTACTGCATCCTGCACTTCCTGCTGAGGACGCTGAAATCCCGTCCCTGCCTGCCACCTGGAACCTATGAACCTTGTCAGATGCAGACGAATCCACAAGCACCCTTGACCTTCGGCCGCTGCTGCTACTGTCGCTACCAAGCTTGCGCACCCCGAGCCCAATCCTTTCTCACCTCTCAGAGATCTCGCACGGGCTATTACTGGCCTGTCCATGATGACCTTTCTCTCTGGGCGTCAGACTCTAGCCCCAGCGAGGAGATGTCCAGCCTTTTCTCGAGCTCGTTTGCATCGAACTGTACCTATTCTGGTTTTCCGTCTGTTGCTCAGTGAGGTGAAGGATGCACGCCACAAGTCGATGTACGGTCCGTCTGCCCGAACCCATTCATGACGGGTGTTGATGATACGAGCCGACAATTACCTTACCAGATGACAGACTGTACTTCTGGGGCTTGACACCTAGTAGGTAGGCATCACAGCTAATGACAGCAGTGGTGTCGACATTCAGAAGTATACCAAATGTAATCTTCGTCACTCTACGTTATTATTGGCAACTTGCTCTACCATACGCTTCAACGACAACATGCTCGCGTGGCGCATCCGGTCAACCGGTCGCGCTTCAGCGAGACGGATCATGGTTAATTATTCCAGCTTAGACTCGCGACCGGGCTTGGGCTAGGAAAGTCTTCCAACAGGGGGGTGCCAAGCTGTCATTACCCGTGGACTTCATTTCACCCGTCGATGTCACCCCCCTTCCCAAACCCCCTGTTCCCCCGCTACAATGAGTGTCCTGGATACCTTGGGGTCTGGGGCACCATCAATTACTTCTGTATGATCCTTGAATCCCAACCACGGCGATCAACTCTTGCCCGGCACATGCCTTTCCAGGTGCCTGCTATGCATTTAAGTGGAGAGGTCCCCGGCCTCTCTCTCCCGTTTCCTGGTCTATGCTGTCCTTCTCTCTGGCTTGATACAGCTGTTGCTAGCCGGATTATATAACAATCTGCATTAGATTAAAGCATTGGCCTCCTTGACCCGACATCAACCTCTTGACGAGTATCCATCTCAAAGAGATTGGCGGTTTGCAGCAAACCATATTCACAATGGCATCCAAGGTTGGAGCAAAGGGTGCTCAAGCCGAAGTCGAGGTGGCCCAGGCTGAGGCTCCTCGGTTCGAGAAAGTCTCTTGGACTAAAGAGCCCCATTTGAGGAGACTTTATTTGATGTCACTTGTATTGATGGTTGCATCTGCAACTACCGGTTACGATGGTATGCTAGTCAACACGTCCCAGCTGATTGACTATTGGGGAGACTATTTCGGTGACGATGTTGTCGACAATAATAAGCTTGGAATTCTTGTCAACATGTTCAATATCGGATCTATTATCAGCTTCTTCATAACACCCTATGTCGCGGATCACTACGGTCGAAAGATCGCCATCGTCATTGGATGTCTCTTCATGGTTCTTGGAGGATGCCTCACGGCGTTCTGCAATGGCTACGGGAGTGAGTAGCGGATCGGACAGTATACATGGTTTTGTACCACGCTGAACAAATTTAGTGTACATTGGTGGCCGATTCCTTCTCGGATTTGGTAACTCTCTGGCGCAGATGTCTTCTCCACTGCTCCTGACTGAAATATGCCATCCGCAACACCGTGGTCCAGTCACTGCCATCTACAATTGTCTGTGGAATGCTGGTGCTTTGCGTAAGTGACAACGAAACCATAGTTCTCCAAATCATCTCTTCTAACATATTCCAGTCGTCTCTTGCATCGGTTGGGGCACTGCATACATTAACAGTGATTGGTCCTGGCGAAGCATCACCTTTATCCAGATCGTTCCCTCTCTGATCCAGCTTGCATTCATTTGGTGGCTTCCGGAGTCGCCCCGTTTTCTTGTCAACAAGGATAGACACGAAGAAGCGCTTCAGGTCCTTGCCAAGCATCATGCTGGCGGGGATGTTCACAACGCTACTGTTCAGTTCGAGTTTCGAGAGATCAAGGAAACAATTCGTATCGAGAAGGAAGCCGACAGAGCGACTGGCTATTTGGACTTCTTCCGCACAAGGGGTAATCGCTGGCGATTGGCTATCATCATTTCGCTTGGTATCATCTCTCAGTACTCTGGTAACGCTCTCTTCTCCAACTACATGAACGCCGTCTATGAGGGTGCCGGCATCACTGAGCAAAATCAAAAGCTTGCTCTTTCGACAGGCAAGACGATCCTCGATCTTATTGTTACCATTTCTGCCGCCTTGACCGTCGATAGATTTGGTCGTCGTCCCTTGTTCCTGATCTCTACGTTCGGGATGGTATTCTCGTTCGTCTTGTGGACCATTACTGGCGCCGTCTACGAGAACTCTCATCAGAGAAACCAGCACTCGGGCTATGCTCAGCTAGTTTTCATTTGGCTATTTGGTGTATTCTACGATATTGGATTCTCTGGTCTCCTGGTCGCCTATGCCTTGGAAGTCCTGCCATTCCATCTCCGTGCAAAGGGAATGATGATTATGAATATCACGGTGCAGGCTATTCTTGCACTCGGCAAGTATGTGGTCTTCCCATCAACACTTATCAGAACATCATTTTGCTAACATCGAATGTGATAGTCAAACAAACAAGATTGCCTGGGACAAGCTGCCTCATCACTGGAACTTCATGTTGTTCTATACCCTCTGGGATTGCGTTGAATTGGTTTTCGTTTGGTTCTTCTACGTCGAAACTAAGGGCCCGACCCTCGAGGAAATTGCCCGTATTTTCGACGGTGATGACGCCATTGCCCATATTGACTTGCATGAAGTCGAGAAAAATTTGCACCTTGACCACGAAGAAGATATCAACGCAGCCGCAATGCATGGCAATAAGACCGCAGCTTGAGAAGCATCACAGTTCCAGAAAAAGAAATAACTTCTTCGCTGTTGCAATGTATCGAGAGATTGTATACCTGGCATCCCTGACTTGTTCAACATTGAATACTTGACCAAAATATTGTGGTTCTTTTATTGCTGTTTCTGAACATTTTGAGACAGGGTTGGGCTTGATAGTATAATGACAGTACCCTAGGAAGAATATCGGGTTAACTTGAGATCTCGGTATACCTCCTTTAATCAATAAGATGCTACTGACATGCAAGGCTGGCTGTGGTACAAGCCCTGCAATTTTTGAGCCATTGTTATAGACTAATTCTACATTGAGTCAAATCAAAGTGATCATTGAGAGCCCCGTTTGAAACCATGATAACGCCCTCAAATTGTAGTCCACATAGCCATGAAACGTTTGGCCCACAGCGCCTGATTAACAAATCAAGACCTGCTTCCTTACACCTTGATAATTGCTTATGAACTGCAAGACGCACAAATAGCATCCATCTCGGGGTAGGATATTACATGTATCAAAACCCATCTGGATTGAGGCGACAGTCGCCGCAAGCCGTGATATGGAATTGCCATGAGCTCTGACTATGCCCGTTATCAGGGCCGGTAATTCAAGTAACTCAACCCATGACTCGAGAATAATCCACCTCGGCTGAGTTTCTTGGCTCGCGTGACTATAGACACAGTTTTTGGGCATTGGGACGCGGACAAGCCTTGGTTCTCTGAGAGCGCGTAAAATGTCGATATCCCCAATTTTCGTGCTACCATCAAAGATAGTAACGAGAGTCTCGAGGTAACATGCAGTAGTGTCCTGAGTGCCATGACAGACAGCGCTGCGCACCGGCTGCTTATCAAAGGGAATCCGAGAGTCGTCCTTTACATGCTTGGTAGTATAGACGGGGTCCCCATAAAAGCGTAGATGGGCCAGTGATAAAGACTAATAGACTCCCTGACCATTATTGGGGTTAGAGTCCTCCAATCCTATTGAGAGGCGGCCACCTGAGCCAACTACCATATCATTTTGTGACGAGGAGCTCATTCTGCTATGGAATAGGTCGATATTACTATCAAAGTGGCTCCGTTATGAATTCGCTAAGGTATCCTGTTGATAAGTTTACCTATGGTGGCCATGGACGTATTCCAGGCGCGGATCACGCTCTGGAAAACTTCGGAGTTATTATCAACTGGCAGGGAAAGCTTTAGCAAGAGGGATTCCATCCGCCGATGCTCTATCTCTTTGAACTTGTCAGCAATGGCAAGCCAAGCTCGAGCGCTGGCATCTTATTCGGCTATATCCTTGCGGCTAATGTCTTGCTGGGCGGCGGCTATTGGGGCCAATTGCGATGGCTCTGAGCCATCGCAAACTTCCGCAATCTGAAGTTTTCGTTTCTCTACTAGCTCGGCCCAGATAGAAGTAGCCTTAGGGGCATCCCACATCCGTGCCAGCATACATGCCAGAAGCACCACGGCTATCGCGGCGTTGCCGGAGGTAGCAGCGGCCCAAATGGCAGTGCCATCAGCCCCAGCATGCTTTTCAAATAGGCCATACTGGCGCATGTTCTTAGGTCTCGCTTTCTCCGACGCGGATATGTCTGAGACCCGTTGGCTGTAGGCTTTCACGAGAGCCTCACTAGGCTTTGCCACTTGTTCGAACAAGGCACCAAGTTTACGGGTAGTTCGATGTGCTAAACCGCTCTCAGCCTTCTTACGTCGCTATGGGGATAAGGCATATCCAAACTGGTAGAATTCGTGAGGCGTCTCGAGCTTTACTAGAGAGAAGTCGAAGTCAAGGTTCGCGAGACCGACTTGGTTTCCATTGCGTGCCGTGACGGCAGATCCCCAGAGGCGGCTCATGTTTAGGTAGTCAAAAATGAAAGTAACGCCCAGCGCCTATGCAGGATCACGGAGAGTTCTATATTAAATGGTCAAGTGTAGCTGCCAGCAGTGCTCATCGCGGATCATTCTCTAGATCCCATGGCGCTTGGGTCAAGAATGGGTTCGAAAGCTGGAGAACTTAATTGAGTATTGTAAAGTGCCAAGAAATGAGAGGTGCTCAGATGATGTTGCATTGCCTCCCAACTCTGGTGGCTGTGTTCAAAGGCAGGCCAAAAGGCAGGCCAAAGGTTGCAGCCACAGACAGGGGAGGGTACTGCGTCACACTCGATCCAGCCTCGGAAACCCAATCGTTTCGAGAGCCTTGTCAATTGCAGTTGCACAACACCCACCGATTCAGTCTCCCAATAAACTCTACGAACTTATTACATTATGATGCGATTGCTGGGAGTGTGGTTGGATAAGATTGACAGACGCTTAGTACATTGCGGTTGCGATATCAAACACGTGCTGTCAGAAATATGTTGTGATATCTCAACTGATATAATGGTCTCGAGGGTTCTCCAATTGCAAGAAAGACCGAATTCAGTAACTAAGTACAGCTACAGTAATCAAACCTTATCTTACTTATATGCCAACAATAAGTGAAGAAAAACTCAGAGTATCTAATGAATAGCCACGAATTTTGATACTTATTCCTAATCATACATATATTTCTTAGCATCGTAGGATTAACCAGGTAGTGGACGCCTCTTCGTGATTTAACTTCCTCTTGACTTCCAAGACAAGCACCTGTGGGCCTGGATATCTGGATGTTTAGTGTGATGGGTCGCTGCAAAATGTCACGAATCAATCGTGAAGTATTATGTGCCTCCAGAGCAGCCGCAGAAAGTGCTGGCGCATGGGGGCATCACAATGCTCATAGCCACCATCACAGGTTGGACACGTGGTGGTGGTAAGTCCTAGCCCTCTTACCACGCCCAGCCAATCTTTTAGAATAAATTTAAATTCCTTTCGTTTCTTACTATTTGCAAAGCCAGTTTTAGTTTACTTGAATGTACACTGTATAGTATATAACTGTCTTGGTTTCAGCAAGTCTCCATCTCGACTCAAGCTCTATATTCTTACACAATGCCTCAAGGTTTATCAGCCCTGAATCTAAGCATAGATATTTACAAATTACCTAGGTAGTATCTGCAATGAATCGACAGTGTTGAGTATGGACAGGGAGTGACTGGGCTAACATCTGGCCCGTCGCTTGTAAGTCGGCCTAGCTCACCGCATGAAGACCCCATGGCGTAGCACATGACAGTCAGTCTCACCAAACATCTATAAACTCCAGGGGGTCCTCGAAGGATTCGGCACGCTAGAGCTCCCCGAAGCCCCTCCGGCAAAGCGGTTATTGGGCATCGTCCAGGCGTTGGCCCACCTAGATGGAGCTAACAGCCATGATTCGGAGGCTCCACACATCCCCAAGGGGCATTGAAGGCCTTCTTGCCCCAGGCGGGTGGGTTGCTGTGCGGAGTCCCTGGCCGTGCTACTTGGACCCCGCTGATACCACTGTAGTCCGGCCTGTCTTACTTGCTCTCAAAGTGATTTGTATGCGGGGAATCCTCGTGAAGACAGTCTTTCCCCCCCAAAGCTCCGCACCCTCGAAATTTCTGTGAGTCCTCTGAGAAGTTGCTAAGACATTTACAATAACAACGACGACGACGACGACTATCTCTACCGAAAGTTGAAGGTTGAGATATTATCTATATATTCTTATATATCGTATATGGCTCTCTGTGAGGGACAAGCTATCACGTTATAATAGAGGCTTGCTGTGAATGACCCCAACACCGATGCAAGAGGCGAATGAAACGGCAGTCGCAAACAATGCGGCTTCACAGGGCAGCCAGTCTGAGCAGCCAGCTGCCCGAAGACCAGCTCGTTCAAAGAATGGATGTCTCACATGCAGGTAAGTGGCCAGTAACGCGTCGTCATCGGATTTCCAGGTTTCAAAAGTGTCATTGGATACAATGTCCTAACTCTGGGGTTTTACTCTTACAGGCGACGCAAGGTGAGGTGTGATGAGCAACGCCCGCGATGCTCCCACTGCGAGCGTCTCAACCTCGAATGCAAATGGCGACCGCCGTTCACGCCCACAACTCAAAGGAGATTCATGGGAATCGACCCGACGCCTGTCGCAATGACAAATGGCTTGTCACATGGGCTAGTCCACTCCTCGCCAGAGGATCCTCGAGACAGCCCAGGCATGCAGACCTGGCTACAAAACCCAGGTGCTGTAGACCAGTTGTTTGACTACGCCAGCTTCATGTGGGATGCCGGCGATGTTCTCGGACAATTGAGCCCAGAGCGAGCTCAGACGAGTATTGGTGCTGGTAGTGACTGTATGGTAAGTCATGTCACCATTCATGTCCCCTCTTTACACACTTCACCTGGTGACGGTGTAAGTCCAAATGGTTTGCTAAATGTGTGATTAGAATCCCTGGACAGCAGGCATAATAGATCAAACGGCAACATTCAACGCGAACGCCTCATCGACCTCAACGACAGAACTCAGACTCAAAGACCCCAGTCGAATGAACCAATCTGGCGAAGCATCATCGACAAGGTCCAGCCGGCCGAGCATACCACCCGCTCCAGCACAGCTTGCCGAGGATCGTCATCTGATCGATTACTTTGTCCGAACCGTTGTTCCTCCCATCTTAGCCGAAGTGGAAACTCAGAAACGATGGTCTTCGATGCGCCAAATGCTAATATCCATGTCCAACGCCTCATCCATGGTCCGATCCGCCATTCTCGCCTTTTCAAATCTCCTATTACATCGCCAAGAGGCGCCATGGCTGGCCTACCCACAACATCATTATGAGCATGCTCTGACCGAACTGATTGCGTCGGGCGATCTCGAGTCTGTGACGAGTTACACTGTTCTGCGTGAACACCTCCTTGCCACGCTTTTCTTCCTCAGCTACGTCGATATCCTCGAGGATCGCGTCAAGAATGCGCATGTGAACCTGAAACGCGCATATGAGATCTTTCGTCAAGGAGACAAGCGAGGATTTCGCCCTGTCGAGATACGCCTCCTTTCGTGGATTCGTCTCCTTGATGCGAGGGCGGTTTCGGCGGGCGGTGAGGGGCTCTTCCTCATGGACAATGCCGAACATCTGCTAGTGCAGCCCTCACCTGCCAGCGTCGAGGAGGTTGACCACGAGGGCGGGACAGACGAAGTGCGCGAATCAGACATCGAAGACGTGTTATTCCAGGTGCTTTACCATCCTGGCATTGTGTTCTTCCAGAAGGTGCAGAGTTTTATGGGTCGAATATCCAAGATCGATCCGTGGCACCGCTCAAGAGGAACTGTCGAAGATGAAACAGAAGTGATGAACATTGCGTCGAAGATATTAAAGGACCTGAAGAAGCTTCACGATGACAGGCCTGCTTTGATGGATCACGCTGTGGCAGGGCGCCTTACCGCACCCCATGTCTCGGAGACACTGGCGTTCTCGATCACGCGAGCTTTCAGGACATATCTATCAAACTACCACGCGAGCAAGGTGCACCTCCACCGAGTTGCTTATAAACACCTCCCATTAACTAGAGAGACTACGGAGGCGCTTACTCAGATTCGGCACCTAACGAGGCTCATGGTGGAAGGCTTAGACCATGAAGCCGCGCTCCCCGTCAGCCAGCTCTGGCCGTTGCTAATGCTGGGATCAGAGGAGAAGGATCTGGCGGAAAGGGAGTGGATCAAGGAGCAGATTCTACGAATGGAGAAGGTTGCGACAAACGCAAGGATAACGGCTCAAGTACTAGAGGAGGTTCAAGCTCGACAGGATACGAGCGGCGCACGAGTCGACATACGCTCTGTCATGCATGCAATTTTCGATTCGTGCTTTGCGATAATGTAGTATAGCATTTGCCCCAACCCAAACAGTGAGCCATTCAATCCCATTATTGGCTCTTCATCATATGCTTATTTACAGGTGTCAAAGGCGCCTGCCCCGTCAGGACAGCCAGGACGTTCCTCATTGATAGCTCCTCGAATCCTACATTTGTCTCGTATGCACCGCCGGCTGTGTGAGATGTAAGCGTCGCATTCCTGCACTTGAGCAGCCGCGGGTGCACGTTCGGCTCGTCTTCGTGGACGTCGAGTCCGACGGAGTAGATGTGGCCGCTCTCGAGCGCATCCACCAGCGCGTTCTCGTCGATGAGACTGCCTCGGGCGATATTCACCAGTCTGATCCCCTTCTTCATCTTGGCAATTCGCTCCGCGTCGATCAGCTTTTTGCCGCCTGCGCCGGGAGTCGCAATGACCACGCAGTCTGCAACGCTGAGCATCTCGTCGAGCTCTGCATATCGCTTTGCGCCGCCCAGTGCCGCCTCCTGCTCGGCGCTCTTGGGGAAGAGATCGTTATAGACAATTTTCATCCCGAAGGCCCGGTAAGCCTTCACAGCGATCCTATAACCGATGTTCCCTAGACCAACAACACCCAGTGTGTGACCGGACGGGTTATGTGCCCCGATTGGGGCGTTTCGGTGCGCATCGAGGAAAGCGTCTGAGTCGCCCGACCGAGCGGCCATGTTGCTCCATTGCATGTTGCGGAAGACGGAGATGATGTGGTATAGGGCCATGTCGGCGACCGCTTCTGAGCTGGCCGAGGCACCGTTGCAGTAGAGAATGCCAGCCTCTGCCATCAGGTCCACGTCCGCCCAGTCATAGCCAGCACCGGCCGAGGCGTAGACCTTGAGAGACTTGGGTAGGAGAGGGATCATCTCGGCATCCCAGCGGCCCATCTCACCACCGCCGACCCAGAAGGGCCGCATCACTGCCTGAAAGTCGCCCCATTTCCTGTCTCGTAGGGCTTGTAGAAATGGCTCTCTTTGCCTCTCCTCTACTGACGGGCGTATGACGGTGAACTTCGCCTCGAGCTCCTTGTAGAGGTCGGGGTTGAACTTGATGGGATCACCGAGGTGTAGGACAATTGGCTTCGTAGTGGTCGACATGATGAGGGAGGACTTATGAATTATTGGGGACTAGGGTATGATATAACGTAGTATTTCTCAACGAAGGGCAATTGGAGACTCTTCAGCCAGCTTGAGCTCCCAAGAGACACTCAAAGATGACAAGAATATCTTCTCACAAAACAGCAGTAACCTCAGCCCAGTCCAGCTCAACCCGAACCCAGCACACAGCACACAGCACCATGAGGTAATCATGTAATGAGAGCTCATCGGCTATACTGCCACATGACGCCGACTTCGAGTCGAGCAACCGCGTCGAGAGTCGTGTCCCGCGATGTCGGCATGTGCGCGCATGACTCTTGTTGGGTCCCAGGCAAGTCATGGCGATCGTTAATCGGCAACGCTAGGCCTGGGAATAACGATTACAGGGGCTGTCTGCGGGGATATGCTGCCAAATCCCGCCGATCTAGCGTCGCCTGGTGAGTGTATGCGGGGAATAACAGAGGGCTAGAGGGGTCTGCATGAGGGGTCCGACTCAGAAACACCTGCGGTGAGGGGTAAAGGTGAAGCGCCGTGTAAGTTCGTCGTTCAGATCGCGACGCGATAAAATTTCCATGATGAGAGTTCGCAAGGCTCTTTACTATCGCGGCCATTCCTGTCGTTCAGTGTCATGCCGATGAGTCAACGCAGAGTTGGTAGTAACTGGCATCTGCGGTCAGAAAATGCCACTTAGTTCACTCGGATCGAGAACTCTTGAAGTATATACGAGCTCTTTATTAACATACTAGTTCATCCTGCCACGGGATCGACTCTTGAGCCCCTTTCCTCCCTACCGTCTTCGATGCTGCCCTGTTCGCGATTTCTACGGCGCGTTCGATGTCGAAGTCTTCTTTAATGGCCTCCAATGCGTACACACCGACGAAGGTATCTCCCGCAGCTGTAGTATCGACAACGGTCACCTTCTCTGCAACGACGTGCCCGCGTTTGCCGTCGGTAGAAGAATAATGCACTCCTTGGCCACCCAGGGTAATCAGCACGTTCTTGACACCAAATTCTTGAAAGCTCTGGGCTATCCTGTCTCTGCCCTCCGCAGATTCTAGCTCGCTTTCTGAACACCCTGAGAGAATCGCTGCCTCTGACTCGTTCATTATGAGATGAGTGACAGCTGCGTAGTATTTATCTGGGATTCGGGCAGCAGGAGCTGGGTTGAATAAAACACCAACGCCTTGATTATGTGCTGCGATGAGTATTTGTAGCACTGTCTCCACGGGAATTTCAAGTTGCAGGATCAGTAAATCTGGGAGAGGAGAGCTCAGGCTGCTGAACTGATCAGGTAATACCGTGGAATTGACCTCTGGTGACAGCATGATGCGATTTTCGCCTGTGCTTCCCTCTACAATGATCACAGCAACGCCAGTTTTCGTAGTCGGTCTCGTTGAGATGCCAGACACGTCCACTCCGACCGTTGCGAGTCCCGCCGTCATCATGGGCCCGTAGCTGTCATCCCCAACTGCTCCAACCATCCTGATGTTGACGCTGCCATTCTTCACATTGGCCTTCGTACGTGATACTTTCGCGCATGCCACAGCCTGATTGGCCCCCTTTCCGCCCAAACCGACATTGAAGCCACTTGCTGTAAGTGTCTCTCCGCCACCAGGCAGCCTCGGCGTGTAAGTGACGAGATCGATATTCAAGGACCCAATGACCGTGATCGTTGGCTTTGTTGCCATTATGACGAAGTCGCACCTCGAACCGCACACAGGAGAAACCGATTATTTTACCGGAAAGAAATAATTTCAACTGCCACAAAGGACGCCTAATGAAGATCGATGAACCGCTGTGACTCGAGCCATGATGAACTTCAAAACATGGCATACAATAGCGATTTCAGCTCCACGCCACGTTCTGCTCTGGCGATAGCTCAATTCATTGACCATGAACATGCACATCGGATTTCACACGCATGCTGGCTGCGCAAGCGACACCCCACACAATGACAGTGCATGCAGACGACTACCGTAGCCGTCTGGTTCCGCCCTCGCTTGCGCTAGCAATCCTCAAGGCCGGTGCCGGCTCGCAGGTTAAGCTCCATCTTCTCGACCGGCATAATCGCCTTGATCCACTCCAGCAGAAGTCGCTCCGAGTCTGGCGTATCAGCAAGATGGTGTTTCTCATTAACGATACCGTAGCCTATACTGAGGAATCCACCGTCCTGGCTCCGAACTACCATGATACTAGTACGCAGGGGACTTTCACCCCGCAAAAGGGAATCGGAAATGTTCAACCCCAGCGTTTGTTTCTTTTCTATTCTTGCAGCGACGATCGATATTCTGAACTCCTCCATTTACATTAATCTCATATTATAGCACAATCAACAAGATGGGTTCCGTCTCAGCTACAAAGGCGTATCCGCCAGGTGTCCATGTTCCCAGTCTTACATGGTTCACAGGAGCTGCCGATCAAGAAATTGATTGGCCTCTTCAAAAGAAGCATCTAGAGTTTCTCGTAAAGTCAGGGCTTCACGGAAGTAAGCTTGTCGCGTTTTTGCACTTACCACCAGCGTGTTGATCTATTATACTAATAATTACTTCTAGTTGTCCTTGCTGGTACAAATGGCGAAGCTATAACACTCTCAAGAGCTGAGAAGGCCAAGCTAGTTCGTCTAACACGCGAAATCGCCGTTCAGGCAGGCCGCCCCGATCTTCCCATCACCCTTGGCTGCGGTGGTGGATGCACACGCGATGTCATCGCGGAGACTCGTATGGCCACGGAAGCAGGCGCCGACTACGCGATTGTGCTAGTTCCCAGCTACTTCCACTTCGCTATGAATGAAGATGCGATAGTTGCGTTCTTCCAAGAGGTGCGCAAAGATAACTCCATGGCCTGGTTACGGATTTTCTGCAATTGCTATGATACTGACTGAGATTTTAATTCAGCTTGCGGACGCCAGCCCACTACCCATCTTGATTTACAACTTCCCCGGCGTCGTTGCTGGACTCGATGTCAACTCCGATATGCTCGCAGTTCTGGGCAAGCACCCGAATATCGTCGGTGTCAAGCTCACATGCGGTGGAATCGCAAAGGTCGCAAAGGTCAGGGCTGCATTCGAGCCAGAGCAGTTCTCTGCCCTTGCTGGACAAAGTGATTGGCTAGTGCCTGCTCTATCAGTCGGCGGCATGGGTGTTGTGACCGGAGTTGCCAACCTGTATCCTAAAGTGAGTGGCACAGCGCCTCCATTGTTGAGTCAATTGTATGCTAATCAACGTTAGTGCTGTCTCCAAATCTACGACCTGTACTTAGCTGGCAAGACGAAAGAGGCTACGGCAGCTCAGCTCAAGTTGGCGGAGATGGAGTGGGGATTCGCCAAAGGAGGTATCAATGGCACTAAATGGGTGGTTGCAAAGCTACTTGGTTACCCAGAAGAAAGCTGCCACTGCAGGCGCCCGTATCCCCAGTACACCGATGCGAAGAAGCAAGCTTGGATCCTCGACGTTGTGAAGCCGCTTGGTACGGATGAGAAGAAGCTTTGAGTTACGAGCGAGGGCATAAGAGGAGTTGCAGAGAAATTCGCGTCCGACGATCCATGAAAACAGAACATATCAAGGCAACGTGAGCATACGGCGGTCAATAGACGTGAAGGTATAGCGATTTCGCCAAGGTGTAAAATAGCATGATATCCTCGAGATAGAGCAATCAAGCAGTACTCCAACCTCGGCCAGCTACATAATTCCAATAGTCCAGTCTAAAGAAGAACTGATCCAAACTCCCATCATAACAGGCATGGGATAATGCGATTTTGTGCTATATTCCGGGAAACCCCGTTGTCTTTTCAGCTATTGGTTCGTCCTTAGATTGTTTATTGAGCATCATGAAATATGCGAAGTGATCTATGCGTGGTGTATCCTGTTTGCAATTCCACAATTGAGCCTCACCTTATCGTCAGATTCATGCTCACCTAGCCACGCGGATCATTCTTCAAGCGCATATCCTAGGGAGCAAGGATTTGCCGTTTAGAAGTTCGCCACCTAGAGTAGACTGAGATCATGGTGCCTTATCAAGGTGCCAATATTCAATCAGTCTCCATGCGACGCGATAGACTCTGCATGATTCGCGATGAGGACGGGTTCGAGACTTTTCAGAAAGTCAAGCCTCCATTCCAGGGGATTCCCGGCTATGGTCGCGTTGTCAACCCCAGTTCCGGATGCTGTCGGCAGCGCTAGACCCCACAGCCCCAAGATTGAGAAACTGCCACACGAGCCGATCGCTTACGCTAAGCCACGAGTAGTTCCAAGCTGAGGAAAGGCGAGGCGAAGTCGCCTTCCAAGTCTACCGCTCTAAGTGTTCTCGCGATATTTCTCAAGGGCAATTTCTTTGAACATAGCACCCAGCAGGCCGGTAGCAGGGCTAAATTGTGTCCCCTTGAGTTCTACACGTGTAGATATTCAATTCTACTGCCGCATAGACTTTTTGGAATAGCACGGGATCTCTTGCGAAAGCAGCTATGAGCCGTTCTTTTGATCATTCGTAATTTCATCGTTTAATTAGTCTCCATCAGGGTTGCTGTCTTAGCAAAGGTCCAACATTTGCGTGTCTTCTGTTACTATAGAACTGAGTTCGATGGACAAGCTGTTTCAGGGTGCTTATGTAAACACTAAGTGTGTGAAGCGTTCTCTGTCGTTCTTAAAGTTTTGGTCCTCTGGTCAACCAGTCTGGAAAATACAAACGTATGCCGTGGATCTTAACACAGTAGCTATGATGGTCGTGGAGCCCATTCGTCTGGAATAATCAAAGAGACTCCTTTCAAATTCGTCTTCAGCATATTTGCTCCTTAAATAAATACAAGTAAATGAAGTAGAACTGCCAGCATCTTTTTCAATTCTTGTAAGTGCGGTAATCCGGCACTCTATCGCCGGATATAGTGTGCTAGACTTCTGTCCTGTGATTTCTCTCTAAAAAAAAAGAAATAAAAAAAAAGACTTCTATATAATCCAGCCTCGTCCGCGTTGCGGTCGACTGTGTTTGAGGCGAGACACTATTGAGGCCGTAGAAGTGCTAATGGCTGTGCATGTCAAGATGGTTGATGTAAAAGGTCACCGCCAATTGAGTTAGCCTAGCCGACAGAACTCTTGGACGTCACCAGCAACATCTCTAGCGGCACCGAGTCATGATTGTGACCCTGGCACTAGGTTAGCGCTCAGCAACTGCATTGAAAAGGTTTGTGCAAACAAGGCAACATCTGTGCCAGGGAACAAATTGCTGCGTAGTGATTAATCCATGTGGATGATGCTCCCCCCACAATAGGTGTTGCGGGGAATGAAGGACTTTTGCTTTTGCCCCAGAAGCAGTAAGAAAGATCCACTACACCCCAAGCGACGATTGAGGAGACACTTCCGGGGTACATCTGGCTTGGGACGGATTTACCTTCTCTTCCTGTTGCCCTAGTTCCGAACCGCCCCTTCTCTAGTCACGTCGCCAGACTCTCCTGGTCGGCTCCCAAATCCTGGGGCATACGCTGACTTTGCCTAAGACTTCATTGGGAAAACATCTCCTTACTGGCGCCAGTATCTTGCCGAGGGGTGTAAGAGATCTTCATAAAGAATCAACCGACCGCCTTTTGCATTCTCGTTGCCCCCATCTTCCCAGAAATTCTTATTTGAACTCAGAGAATATCGTCTACAAACGCCTCCTGACGCCTTGTCTTGTACTATTCTCAGACTATCAGCATGGCTTCCCCAAAGCAGGACACCCAGAGTGTCCCATTGGAACCACCAGTTCTTTCCACTCTTGATGATGAGATTCTGAAGTCTGAAATGAAGCACGTTGAGGGCGAGGAGCCGGTCACTATGCCGGAGAGCCTCCGTGGCATGAGTGAAGCAGACCTCCAGAAGCTCGAAACTAAAATGGTCCGGAAAATGGATTTGGTTATCATGTGAGCTGCTTGGTGTTGTAGAGGCTAATAATCGCGACTGACCATTTCCTCTAGGCCGATCATGGGCATCTTGTATATTCTCAACTGTATGGCCACCAACCTTTGTCTCTAAGGAGAATGAGTAGAAAACTTACATTGTGAAGACGTCGATAGATCTGCTCTTGCCGCTGCCAAGGTTTATGGAATTATGGACGACCTTAACATGACTACAAGCGACTTCGCCACTGCCATTTCGATTCTCTTCGGTGCGCCCCTCCCAAATACTTGTCGACTCACCAACGGTACTAACTTCTTTCCAGTTGGTTATCTTCCCTTTCAAATTCCCTCGAACTTGATCATGACCAAGATCACCCGACCTGGGCTATGTTAGTACCGCCAAGAATACGTGTCTTGAATGCACCCCTGTTGACATCGGTATCCAGATATCTGCAGCGCTGCCGCTATTTGGGGTTGTGTCAGCGCCGCAACTGCCGCTGTGAAGAATTATGATAGCCTGCTAGCTATTCGTGTCATGCTTGGTGTAACGGAGGCTGTATTCTTCCCAGGCGTCATCTACTTCTTGAGTGCATGGTATACGAAGAACGAACTCGGTAAACGACTTGCCGCTCTATTCATGTTTCAAATGTTAGGCTCAAGTTTTGGAGGCCTCGTCGCCGCCGGTTGTCTTACTTTAGACGGGCGTTATGGTATTGCAGGTTGGCGTTGGCTATTCATTGTGTAAGCCGTCCATCTTGGCTCCTTATCCAACCTCAAGGCCATTGCTACATTTTTTATTCACTATGCTAACGAATTTAAGTGAGGGTGTTTGCACTGTCGGTTGTGGTATTATCTTTGCCATGATCATGCCGGAATATCCGCACAATGCTCGCTTGTTGAAGCCCATTGAGCGTGACTATGCGGTCTGGCGCCTTGAGATGGAGGCTGGTGCTGGTGAGGCCCACGAAGACACCACCACTTGGGGAGGCTTCAGACTTGCTGTCCTAGACCCTAAGATCTGGGTTATGGTATGGTGCATGGGCATGGGTCAAGCTATGGGTAGTATTGTCAACTTCTTCCCGTCCATTGTCTCAACACTCGGTTACGACAAGATCAAGACTCTGCTATTGACTGCTCCACCTTACCTCCTTGCGGCAATCTGGTTCTATATTATCTCCTACATCAGCGATGTAAGTTGATGCTTTTCCCGTGGGTTCTCACTAGACTAACTTGAATACTCAGCGCAAGAATACCATGTATCCCATCATCGTATTTTGTCTTGGTGTTGCCGTTATTGCATACACTATTGCTTTGGCTACAATCAAGACTGGACCACGATACTTTGCCATGATGTTAATGCCTTCTGTTTGCTGTAGGTCGTTTACTTCGTATGGAAGCTTGGTGCTGTGCTGATAAGATGCAATAGCTGGTCCCCAGATCATGCTCTACAAGACCCTTAACGTCCATATGGCTCGTCCTTACCCCAAACGAGCTGCTGGCGTTGCAATGATCAATGCAATAGGAGGCTTGAGTAATGTCGTATGTTATTTCTGAGTTGATTTGATTTATCTTAATCATGTTTCAATGGCCAGGGGTAAATATCTAGTCTCAATCCGGATCTTTACCCCTGAGGCACCTCGATCACAGCATTTTCCTTCTTTTCATCCTTCTAATGAAGCTATTACTGACTACAAACGCTATAGTGGACTAGCTATCTCTACTACAACGCACCGCACTACTATGCTGCCTTTGGTTGCTGTGAGTTTAGCTCAACAATGACTCAACTTTATCTCAACTGACCATCTGTGCTTAGTGCTTGGCTGCGCGGTTTCCTTCTTCGTGACAATCACGGGCTACCGCATCCATGTGAGGCGTGTCAACAGGCTTCTCGGAGGCTCCCCAGAGGACCAGCGCAAGGCCATGAAGAGCGGCGTAACCCAACAGCAGGTCGACCTCAACTGGCGCTATATCGGTTACTAAGAAGCTGCAGAAAGGGTACTCGTCACTCAATACCGTTTTTCAAGAATTTGATTGAGTCAAGGCTGTTGAGAAGTACTTCACTTTTGAAAAATGAGATAGAATAATCGAACTCAATGCACCGTCTGCGGTTAATATCACGCCCGATACATCTCATTCCATTCATCACCAGTACTGGTTACATTTCGTGAAAACGATGTTCATCCTTCAAAGGTCAGTACGAGATAGGAAGATATGGCACATTACAAAGGATCAATAAGAGACTAGTGTTTACGATTCAGTATTATGTTCTAGCCTCCCCGGGTTGATTGATCGTTCTATGCCATGATGTTTCCTTGTGAAAAAGATCACTAGTTATGTCGAAGGCTGTCTTAATGTCGGGATAATGGATGGCATGTAGATTCACTTCAGGTTGCATCATTGCATTTGTTATAACATCTTATTGTCCAGAGAATTGAACCTCGCGGGATAGACATGGCATTTGGGGAATTTCTTGAATTTTCGCAAGAAATAAATCCTACTGAGTTGAGAGACTTGGTCGACCGTCTTCTTCACTGCCGAAATGAAAGACATGAGACTTCTTGAGGGCGAGCAACAAGTCATTGTTGTGGGAGACCTTGATAATCGCGTTCGATGTGTCGGACAAGATTCTAGGATCCACGGAAACCTTGAGCGTCGAAAGATGTTTCTGTGCATCATTGTCCCTGAAACTCTGGAGGAGTTCATCAAGCTCATTCTCCCACGCGATGATATGAGGAAGAAGTCGAGTCGCTGTTTCGTGAACTCCGGATGCGCGCTGAGAGAGTTTGTTTGCCACACCTAACGCATTGCAGCCCTCCTCGAAGACGTATTCCATGAGACTCTGGCTGAGGGCTGGGCTCTTGATTTTCGTGGCCTCCTGAATTCTTCTTTGAGACTCTTGTCGCAGCTTGATATGATCATGTCGTCGTAATGCAAGCCACCAGCTTCGAGAACAATCATCTAGCCATCCCTGAATCTTCGCGGGAATTTGATCATTGCATTTTCTTCTGTAGTCAGCGATGGCTTTCTCTGTCGGATATTTCCCTTTCTCTAGAACTCGCGCAATGGCTCTGTACTCAGGAGAGCCAGCATAGTGCACCTCATCCGACTTCAGATTCTTAGTCTTGTCGGCGAGGCGAAACCGCGTTAGGAGAATTATTACATGTTTATTATATGTTTATAAACGTTTATCACCAGGGCGGAGGAGTATGATCTTTGAGAAGTTTGATGTTTATTACCTTGGCGAAGAAGTGTTAAACCAAATTCACAACCTAGTCTAGTTCTCTAATAGCCCTTGACCGTTGGTACATGTTGAATTCTCTCCCATACCCATGGTGTGAGACTAGAGCTGAAGTTGTTGCTGAACTTGATGTTGAGATAATTGTAGCCTTCGTCAGGCACCCAGTCGACAGCGATCTTAGTCTGACCATACTCTTCTAAAGCCTCAACCGTGGGGCGGAGAGACTCGGGCATAGGGGTTACCACCTTGTTCTTGTACCAACTGTGATGTTACTTAGCAAGACGAATTGACTTGCTCCAATCCGAGGAGAACTTACGCTGCATAGTAAACGATGGCAAGCATGATTCGAGTTTCTTGTGTGGGATTCGGCATACCGGCATGCCTGATGGCAAGATATTATCAGCACAGAGCACTGATGTAATCGTAACAGAAGGAAACTTGAACTTGTCACTTACCATAATCTCAAGTCCCTGAGGACAATGCTCCCTTTCTTAAGCCTCGGATATATAGGACCTCTGACTTTCCTCCTGGCCTCGAGTTTATCTTCTGCAATCATGGGCTCTCCAATCTCCCGGTGGTCGTTAATGTTGGTGTTCTGGGTTCCCAGCCATAGCTCAGTTGAGCCGTTCTCGGGTCCAACATCGACGAGACAAGTGTTAAATGCGATAGCAAAAGGATGTTCAGGGTGCTCAAAACGAATATCAGAATGGACCATTTGGCGTTCATCAGTGGCAAGCAGGGTATTTGAGCGGATGAAGTGGACTTCGGGGCGAGGCCCTAGAATGTTGGAGACAATACGGGCACCATGCTTGTTCGCGTATACCTCAGGGAAAAGCCACTCTACAAGCATTGTTAGATGTATACAAGGGCTAAAACTAAACATAGTGGTTCACACTCACCCTTCTCCAGAGGTGGGACTTGTGACAGGTTTCCGCCAGCCGCAGCTCCCTTGGTGGCAGCGTTCTGGTTCAAATGACTAGGTTGTAAGTCAGCATATTCGTCACGCATCGGTATGGCACTATGATAACTCACTTGAAGTGTACTTGGCCTTTTCCACTCAACAACTTGTCGGTGTCCTCAAGCATCCTCTTGTTGAGCTTATCAATGAGTGCGACATCGATGGCATTCTCAACAACAACCAGACCATCTGTGTAGAAAGCATCAATGGCGTCATAGAGCTTCTTGTCGCTCATAACACCGCTGTCTCGCTCTTCATTGGTCAAGGTGATAACCTTGGGTGCGTCGGATGGAGCTGTCACGGCCATGTTGGCGGCTAATATATGCAATGAGGGGAAGAGTGATGTTGCGGAGATGCTGTTGGGCATGAAGATTAAGCAAAGGCACTTTTCGAAGCAGAGCTTGAGAGGAGCTGTTTATCAGATCTTTATCAGATTGAATAATGCGTTCTCGTCGTAGAGTTCCGCCACGTTTATCCTGGATCTTCTAATATTTTCCCGGAATCGTTCGATGAAGCTCGACGGTCCTCGATTGATGGATTGCACTTCCGTCACATACGTCGCTAGTCGAGCAAATCATCAACCTCCAGGTCGTCTACCCTGGGGCCCCGTACCCATTCCGAAGCGAAACTTGGAGAAATCGTACAGCGGTAGCCGATCGGCTACGCTAAACACAAGTCAGACAGGCTACCCCAAGTTTAGCCCATGGGGGACGCAGCGCCGATTGCCGACTGTTTCACTCCGTCCTAAGTCGCAAGTCATATTCGACGCAGCAACGTCTAGTTATGTGAAAAACCTCGCAGTGGCAGAAGACGCATTCATTCTGCCCAGAACTGTGTGTAGTTATAGTGAAATCCGCGCGAGTCTACTTCGAAAACTTCCCTTCTGACTGACAAGCCTTCCTGATTTCTCCACACCTCCCCAAACTCCAATCCCCGCCCCCACCACACATACAAATTAAATTATGGCTGAGCAGCACGTCTCTTTCAAGGTCGAGGACCTATTTGGTGTCAAAGGCAAGGTCGTCGTCATTACTGGCGGCGGATCTGGTCTCGGCAAAGCAATTGCTGAAGGCTTTGCTGTCAATGGGGCAAAGGTTTACATCTCCGGCCGAAGACTGGAAGTGCTAGAAACCGCTGCAAAGCAAATCGGCGGTGACATCCATGTGTGCGTTGCCCTAGTCGCACATTATCATCTTGGACAACCAAGCTGACTTGAATTAGAATTCAAGGCGATGTGCAAACCAGGGCCGGATGCCAGCAGATCGCCGAGGCCGTCAAGGCTCATGAGACCCATGTACGGTTCTAAAATCTTGTCCCGAGACAGCTGATTGACAGTCTTAGATCGATACCCTTGTCAACTGTGCTGGTGTGAATAGCCCTTGGAGAGTACAAGCTAAAGACCATAACGACCGTATGTCTCATTTAAAACTGCACCTCAACCGCAACGTGTGGCCTCAATCGTGCGTACCACTAACACCTATCTAGCTGACCAAGTTGAGAACCTCCTACTTAATGGTGTCACCGAGTAAGTCCCAGACAAGTTGAATAGAAGACAATCTTTGAAATAATACTGATTTCGTATAGGGAAGACTTTGATCGGAGCAATCAAAGTGAGTTACAACACCACAAATTTCTGCAGCGATGATTATATCTACATTTTAGTATCCACCAAGGGCCAATATGACAGATACTGACATATCATAGTCAATGTGAACGGCGTTTATTTCACCACTGCTCACTTCATCCCACTCCTACGCAAGTCAGCTGATCCCAATGTCTGTGTGATTGCCAGTCTTGCGGGACTTGCCAACATCAGGTCAGACACTTATGGCGTTTCAGAAAGGAATGACATGCAAAATAACTAACCCCTGCTAGGTCGATGGGATCTTTGACATATGCGGTCTCCAAGGCTGCGAGTAAGCGACACTTTTCCTTAACTAATGATTTTTTTAGAGGCCTCAGAGGCCATCAGCTAAATCATTAAATAGCTATTCACCTCGCCAAGCTCCTCGCTGGCCGTCTACACCCGTAAGCTATCACACTCGTTGGAAATATCTCACTCGATGCTAATGTGTTATGTAGGATGAAGATTCGTGTCAATACTATCTGTCCTGGCATTTTCCCATCAGAGATGACGGGTGTCACATCTGGCAAACACGAGTATAACATCAATCACCAGGCAGAAAAGGCTGCGAAGCGATGCACAGCGGGACGTCCTGGCAGACCAGAGGAGATGGTTGGGCCTGTTCTGATGCTATCAAGTCCCGCGGGCGGATACATGAACCATGCTCTTCTCACAGTCGATGGTGGTAGACTGATGGGCGTTTCGATTAATGACGGTATCAGGTTACCAGACGACTCATATACGTAAGTCACACCCCATTCAGGGTTTCTTCTTGCTAATGTCCTCAAGTGATGAAATCCTTGGTTAGAGCAAAGTTCATTGGCTACCATTAACAGAACTACATAATCACATTCTAGGAAGGGACCAGAATTGGAAAGCATGCCTTCGGCCACAGATATATACACTCATGACCTATAGCCCTCAGTCTAGATTTAGCTTCTTGTCATTAAAGCACACGTGGACCTTAGCAAGAAGATAAGACCCTGATAAGACCGATACTTCGCTGATTGAACAGGCATGCGCCTAGTCCACATATGTTATCTGCAAAGCCCGTTCTGGTCCAATCAATGGCCCACCGCTGTGATTTACCTGTTGTGCTACCCCGCTCGGCAACATCGCAAACTCCATTCTTCCGGCAGCGATATCAACATGTACAATCACCTCGAATATAATCTCTTTGAAGTGCATCCTCTTGAACTCTTCTGGTCGTCTACATACACATATCCTGAGCTTCTGAGTGGGGGCCACTAAAGATGGATCCTGAAATCGACGGATTTGTCGTGATCTCACATCATGATGTAGCATCTGATAAGTCGGACGAGGTAGCTGCGCCAGAGTATCTCGAGAGAATAAGCGTCTTTATCGATAATATTGCCGAGTCTCTCTGGCCTGTGAACAAGAAGATTCATGACCATCCGGAACTGGGCTACAAAGAATATATCGCTCACAGGACATTAACCGAGTTCATAAAGAACCAACCTGGATGGAAAGTGACCCCGAGAGCCTATGGTCTCGATACTGCTTGGATAGCCGTTTACGAGAATGGACATAAGGGCCCGGTTGTCTCGTTTAATGTTGAAATGGGTGAGCCATAGAGCAAATTCATTCTGAAAGTATTCACTAAGAAGCATTACGCAGATGCTCTTCCAGGAATCGGACAGTAAGTACAATTGCAAACGTCCTCACATCCTATAGACAAATTCGAGAAGACGAAACAATTAAACTTCCCTACTTTTTCCAAGTACATCGAAGAAGATGCTCACTTCATTGCATTTAGTGCATGCGGGCATAACCTTATCGCGAGCGCATCTGTTGCTGCGGGGCTTGCGTCAGCAAGTGCGATGAAAAGACACGGCATTCCCGGCAAAATTGTTCTTTTTGGAACACCAGCAGAAGAAGGTTGACTACAGCACGATACTTGACATGAGCGCATTACTGATAGACAGTAGGTGGCGGAGGAAAGATCAAATTGCTCGAGAAAGGTGCTTATGAGGACCACGAAGTTGATGTCAGTCTCATCTCGCATCCCGGCAACACGAAAAATTCTGCTATGGTTAGAACCACGGCCTATGAGAGCTTCAAAGTCGAATACTTCGGCAAAGAGGCACATGCTGCTGCGAATCCATGGTTAGGAATCAACGCCTTGGATGCTCTCATAACCGCTTATAACGCATTATCCGTCCTCCGTCAGCAAACAATGCCTGGAGATATCATTCAAGGTTATATCACCGATGGTGGGGTTGCACCTAATATAATCCATGCATATGCCGCAGGCGTCTTTGTAGCCAGATCGAACACCCAGTCCCGGCTGAAGGACTTGAAAGAGAAGGTCGATGCTTGTTTCGTAGCAGGGGCATCTGCTACTGGAGCGGAGTTGAAGATTACACCTATGGGAAGGTACGCGGACCATGTACCCAACAGAGTACTCGCATCGTCATATACGAAGTATTTCAACGCCTTGTCTCCGTCCACGAAGATTCCTGTCAACCAAGATCTTGATGAGATAAATAGCGCCACAAAAGCCAGCACGGATCAAGGAGATATCAGCTATGCGATGCCAAGTCTCAGTGCAGGCTTCTTGATTCCACTTGGGCCAGAAGGCCGAGGTCCACATAATCCGGAATTTGCTGGAGCGGCAGGGACGCGAGAGGCTTTCCGATCTTGTTTGCAAGTAGCCAAGGCGCTATCTGGGACAGCTTTGGATGTCCTCACAAAAGAGGGAATGCTTGAGAGCGTTAAATCACAATGGCGTCGGGATATGAAGAGCCATCAGTCCTTAACAGAGAGAAATGTGATGAGTGACGTGTTCAACTAGCAATTGCTACGCCCTCTTGCTCAATACGCCGTTGCTTAGCTTGCACGTTTAGTGTATATAGGAAGAGAGAGCGGGCGGCTTTATTCTCCGGTTCGGCACGAAAATATTGGAAGAAACTCATGTTTAGTCCTCGGGGCTATACTTCAAGTAGACTATCGAGATTGAGTAAACGTGTGATTATAATAACAGTCTAGTTGAGCTATTGATTGACTGGATGACGATGATTATAAGGTGTGAAGAGTACACCATCATACTAGTTCCGAAGCTCTCTTTTCACCATATGAGTGACAAACTTTTAGCCTCCAAGGTCCATCGAGGAACTTGCTCTCAAGGTTATGTGAATCAAAGAAAGCAGTAGCATTCACTTTCAAGTTGACCAGCAAGGTACCAGTCGATCAAGCTATGTGTTTCCAAGCATCGTCTGCATCTAAATAGGGTCAATAAGCATTATTACTCTAGAAACCGTAGCTCGGCACCTACCAGGATGAATCTCAGGTTCTTTGATGTCTTTCCGAATTTCCTTCTTTCGCTTCCAGTCTGTGCCGAACCTCTGATCACGTTCGCCAACAACCTGGTCGAAATTGAGCATCTGACTATCGGCTGTGATACTCGTCATCAATTGCGGTGTGCCGAGAGGGATCTTGTGACCCTTATCAACCTGCCATAGGTGATATACCTTGCCATATAGCTCAATCACGTCCTCCATCTCGGCGGTCTCAGCCTTTTCCCAGGCTACTTGGGGTACAAGAGGTGATGGCTGGGGCATAACGAGCATTCCGGATTTGACCTCGAAGACGTGAGAATGCCACAATTTTCGTTCGTCGGAGTCTAGCGTGGCAAATAACTTGGGAGTAATCATATACTCAACTCCAATCAAGCGAGCACGAGGTCCCGGTGAGTCATATAAGAGGCATTGACGGACGTCTTTGAGGTGTCAGCATATGAACTTTTTTCCATGCCTTAGCACTTTCAGAGTCGGCGTAGTAATTATACCTTCGGTCAAGTGGCTGCAATAGTGGTTCGTCTCCACGAAGCGCGTTGGATCGCTGGCATAAACATGGAACGCGTTGAGATGAGCACATATGCTCCTGACAGGAGTGAAATCCTACATATAGAGTCAGAATAGAACAAGTTTGACAGTTCCACACACGTTACCTGAGTCATGCCAGCTCCAGTTTCGAGTATTCGGCTTTTTGTAGTTCGTGGGTCACCGGCAGCCTTTGCCGTTGCGTCTTCGTGATCCATACTAGGACGCGTGGCTAAAGTCGAATAGTTCGATATTATTGCTCAAGGCAATCAAACTGGTCACGCAATAAAGAGCTTAGGGTAGCAGATATCAGCGCCGTTATGGTACGACGTAAAGCATCTTTTGTTGTAGTGGAAAATGATTGGTCTTGGGGATGGGTGTGTCTGGTCTGCGGACTGACGACCACTGACGACCACTGACGTCATCGAAGTGGGAAACAATTAAAGCACAAAGCACACATACGGTAAAAAATGCTTCGTCAGTTTATTTATTCCGATGTGCAGCCAAATGTTCTGTGATGAGCAAGAAGTCAAGTTGGCACCACAGGGCAAGGTGTACAAGTAACAATTGGGTGAGTACGCGATCTGAGTCCAAAAGAAGTGAAACAACTTTCTGGATGAACAAGTAACACTGATGATTTTGAGACCTTTGTTATCGCCCTAAACAGCCATATGAGCTTTTAACTTTTAGAGACCACCATCCTCGTTCCTGCGCTGAGCCTCTTCAACGCAACGGATCCAGTCCAATTTGCAGATGTACAAGCCCTCGATCAACCCAACCAGCGCCAGAGCAACCGCCACACCTGTCCAAAGCCCATATAACCCTAAGTGCAGACCAAACCCTGCACTGAAACTAATTGGCATGCCGATGAGATAATAGCAAATCAATTGGACGTAACCTCCCGTTGACTGTCTACCCAAGCCGCGCAACACTCCGTTGCAGGTAGTTGCGAGCGCGTCAAATAACTGAAAAGTAGCCACCAGCAGTAGAGTATCAGATATGACCTGGATGACCTCTGGGTCTGCGGTAAATAGATGTGGCATATATTCTTGCAAGCTGAAGAGAAGAGTCATATTCATGGCACCGACAATGAGTGCGGCGGAAAATGTCACTCGCGCACTGGTCTTTGCGCGAATCGGATAGGCTGCACTAATATGATTTACTATACGCGTTGAGCCGGCGATTGAGAGGGAGAAAGGAATTTGCAAGGCCAGCGTTGTGAGAGTGCTGAGCACGGACTGAGCTGCTAAACTTGTGGTGCCAAATCGAGCTGCTGCCAATGTTAGAATCGCGAACGCTAGACCCTCAGCCTCGAGCATGGCAACTCCCGGCAGCGCCAGTTTGAGCATTGGTATCCGATGTTGGAGAGCTTTCCTGCTCATCTCGTTCCAACATTCCAAGCATCCAGGGCGGCACAAGACGTAGAAGAGGAGAGTAATAGGGAGGAGAGTGTGTGTAATGGCCATCGCTACTGGAGCACCGACAAAGCCATAATCGAGCTTCCAGACAAGCAGCCAGTTCAGCAAGGCGTTGGTGGGCGCACAAACGAGAAGAACATATAAAGGCGCATTGAACAACCCCTGAGCTTGAACAAAACGTTTTGACGCTTCAAAAGCTGCATATCCCGGAATACCTGGAACTAAAAGTCTCAAGTATAACCCTGCAAGACTCGCAACACTGGGATCCGTAATGACAGTTCGGAGGATCGTCTCAGCGCATAGCCAGAGTATGCTGATGGGAAGTGATATTGTCCATAAGATGACCATCCGCTGCGTGTGCAACCCGACAAGCAGCTTGCGGTTTGAGTCATAGGCTTGTGGACACAACGTATCCAGCGAAGTCGCGAGACCCTGAAACACTGCATAGCCGGTGATGTTTGCGGTCATTGAGGCGAGACTGACAGCGGCTAGCTCACTTGTGCCGATGTGTCCGACGGCTACGATACTAGCCATCGTTAAGGAATACTGTAGAACGAAAGTGATGATTAGAGGTATTGAATATTAGCTGATGACTTTGACTTCGTGCGGCCATGTCGCGCTAGGAGCTGTTACAGTGTCCACGCATTTGATACCAGAACGCCGGGTTACAACTTCTTCGCCGCAGGAATGATGGTTTCCTTTCGCTAACAAAGGCGTAAACTCTGCTCTGCTCTTAATGTAGTAGTTGCTGGAGGTTTTGGTGTCGTCAATATCGTGTCGGTGGGACAAATCCTGTCAGCGGTCTCCGATTATCACATGAGCGTCTCCATTGGCTGTGTGATTGTGGGAATCTGTTCGTACATCATCTCATTTTTCGGTTTCAGGGCAGTGCAGACATTTGAGAAGTACGCCTGGATCGTGAGCTTTGTTCTCATTGCGGTCCTTCTTGGCCAAGCAAGCCCACACATCGCTATGTCAGGAGCCGGCCTCCAGGGCGCCACCCTAGCGGGAACTTGGCTATCGTTCATGGCTGTCTGCTTTTCATCTGGATCAGCTTGGGCAAGTATCGCAGCAGACTACTACTGTCACTACAAAGCCAACACGGAAGGCTGGCTTGTCTTTCTCCTGACTTTCCTTGGCCTGTCGATTCCCACCATATTCATCTACGGAGTTGGCGCCTGTATCGGCGAGGTAGCTTTGTTCTCAGGCGACGAGCCATCCTACAATGCTTATGTGGAACATGGGTTAGGTGGCTTAATCCGCGAGGTCTACCACCCGCTTGGTTGGGGCAAGTTTTCTATGGTGATGCTGACATTTTCCGTTCTGGGAAACAACATTGTCGTATTCTACTCGTCGGGACTGTCTCTACAACTACTCGGCCACCACTTCCACGCCATACCGCAATATATCTGGTCGTTTCTTGCGGCTGTTGTCGTAACTGTCTTGGCAATAGCTGGGCAGGAGAATCTCTCCAATATCATGTTCAATTTTGTATCGCTTCTCGGTGTTGGGCCATTTCATACACTATGATTTTGTTGTTTGAGGATCAGTGGTTCCGCCGCTGCACTGGATATGTACTGGAGATCTGGGACAAGCCGAAGAGCCTACCACTGGGTTTAGCTGCAGTGGTATCACTTTTAGCAGGATATCTAGCAGGGGGGGTTCCTGGTATGGCGCAAACGTGGTACATAGGCCCCATCGCGGCCAGGATTGGCAAATATGGCGGTGATGTCAGCATTTACATGTCTTGTATCATCACCGTGTTTTGCTATTTCTCATTGAGATACCTAGAGAACAGAGTTTCGGGTAGATAGGGGCTATATATATTTGTAAGTCTCAATATTACTCAAGGGTCAAGATCTCAAGAAGCTTATAAAGCACCAGTCTCCACAATGGATAATCAAGAATGCACTCGCCCTTCGAACATTCGAGCCCAAATCATGTCCCAGCTGACTGAGAATTGATTCCTGAATTCTCGCTTTCACGTAAGTTAATTTAGTGAGAATGATGTATAGAAACTGAAGTAGAATAAACTTCGTTCAATTCATGTAGGAGGTAACGATTTGCAGATATATGTTTCTCCATGTCCCAATAACATAATCATGAGTTGAACCTGCCTACGCGAGGCATTGTTCCACAGGCGTTGTTTCAGTGTCTGGCAATTGTGATGGGGAAGTCTGCAAGATGATCTTCTATATATTTCGCTCTAATTCAATTGTGTTTAGTGTGGCTGTGCCACTTTGGGCTCAAGCTAATGTTGGAGTCCTCAAAAGTGCCGCCGCACAGCCGTCAAGCAAAAGCCACCGGCTAGAAAGGATTCGGCGCTAAAATTCTTTAAACTTGATCTGCCTCTTCCCCTGTCTTTGCTTTCAACCTTATTACCGGACAACTCGATTCGGGTATGCAAAGATTCCAACTCGAATGAGAGACTCTTGATGCTTTAGGATATCATTTTAACTTATACAGGACGAGAGCTGTATCACCATCAAGCTCAGCTCAAAACCCAAGCCATTCGCCAAGATGGAGGCTCTGCTATGCACCATCCCGTACACGAGAGTGCGGCTGACAGAGCTAAGACTGCGTTAGGCATCATCAAGCGGTAGACAGGCAAAGCCAAGCCATTAGCGGGCAAGTCTGCCTCGCACCGGCTCTTCATTGATTGACAATGTCCGCTTGCCATTTGACAGACTCCGACTATCGCCCTTGGCGCGTATAGACTCCTTTCCTTTTGGCCATAGTGAATTGCCTGACCCCAAGGTCCCATTTCGTTCATATTCGTGGCGTTCCCAGCTCGCGTTGCGAAATGTTTCCTCTGTTTCCTCAGAATTTTCTGGGCAGTTTACATCGTGGCAGTCTAATCGACAAGTTTCCCCGACCGACAAAATGGAGGAAGTTAAGACACAATCCTACGGTGTGACGACAGAAAGTGTCGGCAAGTCTTCAGTGGACAAGAGCGGCAAGCACTTGTTCGTGACTCCAGTATGGGTGACTGTCGTTCGGGGTTTCCAAATCTTCTTCGGCTTCGTCATTCTGATCCTGGCCGGCATTCTTATTCATGGTCTAGCAATGGACGCTGTTTGCTTTGCTTTAGCTTGTGTAAGTCCCATCGAAATGGGAACGCTTTCGACAAGATGCTGATACTCTAACGCAGGGTCTCTTCACATGGATTGTGGGCTTCTACTCAGTCCTGACCGAAAAGGTGCACAGTTGGCGGACAGCATATAACCATTGGGCGGTTCTATCACTCGACATATTCATGACCATCCTTTGGCTGGCCTCTATGGGGGCTGTCGCAGCCCTACGAACTAGCTTCAAGTATGATGTCGACGCCGATTGTTACGACGACGGCTCTGCTGTGAATGCCGGTCACTGTGTTGTGTACAAGAGGAGTCTCGAGAAGCGTTTTGCAGTTGCTAGCCAGGCTGGACTCGCAACAATGAGCGCCATTGCTGGACTGAGTGCCCTAGAGATGTAAGTCTAGCCCCGGAATTACAGCTTTGAGATCACCACTCAAAGCGTGACTTATCCCTTGACACTATGAATCCGAACCTGATGAATGGCAGGCTACTCTTCATCGCCTCTCTAGCTTACCTCGCTCACCAAATCCGCCTTCACTACCGATCAAACAAGTCCTCGGATCCTGCAACAGTCGAGATGAACGCGCAGCAACAACAGCCCATGCTCTCTCAGCAGATCCCGGCTACCGCTCCAACCTCAGCCTACACCGATCAAACACCGTACCAAAACACCCAGTACACAGGTGCTCACGGCCAGCAGACGCAATACACGAGCCAGCCTGCCCAGCTTTACGATGGCTATGCCTACCAGCAACAGCAGCCTCAGCAACCGCAACCTCAGCATCCTCAACAACAACAGGCGTACCAGTACCCACAGGAAGTACCGGCTCAGCCACAAGGGTATGGACAGTCTCCGGTCGCATACACCCCGTCAGCGAGCCCGGCTCCAACATATGTTACGAATCCGGGTCATTATCCGGCACAAGGCCAGGTGTATCAGCCTCCGCAACAGTAGAGCATTTGCTCTCATCAGCGACGGTACGAACGGGAACTCTGGAATCTAGGGAGATGCAAATAAGGCGTTATGGTCGTTCAATCTCTGGCATGATAAGGCGTGAAGTTCAGATTTGATTTGACGAATGGTGGGAAATCGGAGCCATACCATTGTTTGATTTTTACTGTGTTGAAATGGTTACTGTGAAGAGAGATAATGGTACTATGTCTCATTGTGTACCTTATGGTGTATTAGAAATGGACAGAGTGATCTGAGCCAAATCTGATCAAATAAATACCACTGTTGGTGTTGAATATGCATCTTGGATCTCTACTCATTAAACTTCATCAATCTAATTCCTTCCTTGCTTTGAAGTGGAGATCGAACGGCTGTCTCTCTTCTCTAACTCCCTCAGGCTGCCTGGAAGATATGGGGTAAATGCGGCTTTTGGGCAATTCTTCAGCTAGAGTGAGGGCATACAGCAGTCACAGAGGCCGAGTCATTATCAGCATGGCGATCCGGAATGTGACCCGGTCGCTCCCAATGCTCATGTCCGACCTGAACTCACCCGTTACCCAGCCTCATTCAAGGGACCTAACGGCAGTGTTATCTGGGAATGTTTCACTTGCAGCATTCCAGGCGTCTTTAGCGGTTTGGTATCGTCGGCCACACTTCGCGCTCGCCCACGCGTGGGAGAACGCGTGTTTCTGGAAAAAGCCGACTACTAATTACCAAGGGTCTATTGGCGCAGCCATCTAAATAATACCTACTCATGATAGCCATGGCCCGTACGCGTCATTGCTACCAGTATCCCACAATAATCGAGAGCGCATTACTTCTCGTTGCGTAGTTGTCGTCAGCGCAACTCCTCCCTCTAGATCAAAGCGAGTCATTGTCCGTGGAACCGATTGGAAACGGAGGAGCAAGAATAAAAACCATTTCTGGCTCTTTAGGCCGTTAATTGGCAAAAGGACCGATCGTCACCCTGAAGTCTCGGATAAGCGTCTCTCTTAGACAAACCCAGGTAGTGTCTCAGGAACAAATCGCGAAGGAATGCTACGCCAGCTGGCATGACCGCGTTTCCATTAAAGAGCTTCAAAATAGGGGTCGCGACAGAGTCATGAGGCTCGTTAAGACGAACTTCGCCTCGAACGCAACGCCCAGTATTCCGTCAGTGGCTGTCGTTGTTATCTTGCAATTTGAAGACATTGGGGTGAATGTGAGCAAGGCATGTCAACATCATGACATTGAGAACAAAGGCTTGCGTTGTATCATCAGCGCGTCTAGCCGTAGGTTCGATTCTAGAGAAACGCGTACGGCCTCAAGGCGTGCGACGTTACGCTGCATGACTACTCAGGCTCACAGATGTACAAGTTGAAGCGAGGCAATCTACAACGTTCTGGGACTCTGCAGCCATCCCCGCGACTGAAAGATTTAGGCGCTCTGACCACGCGCGGAACCCTGGTTCCGCCTCTGTAAGACAGGCTTCAACGCCTACGGGCTGCAAGTCACAGCGGGTTCACGCTGTCCAGCCGCAGCCCCAAAGCATGCCAAGGAATCTGGTAGACGCCGTGGTCAACCACATCGCCAAGATTTCCCCAGTCACACTGCCGAAGCTGTGGTGATGCTGATCGATATGTATGGCCCCTGTATAGTCGTATTGGGTTTCAGTTTTCCAAGGCAGTCAGTCGTTTTGAAACAAACGGCGATGAAAATGCGAAAGGCCCCAGCTAGAGCAGCGATAACGGCATCTCATTCGAGATTCCTTCGTGAAGAACCTTGGCTAGCTATCTGTGATATGAAGATAGCTCGATCTCCTTCTACAATAGGATTCATGAGCTGGGGTCATTGCTGGTCAGCTCTGTTTTCATATAGGCCGCGGCGTAACGAGTCAATCAGGAAGTTTGAGCTTCCAGTCGTGATCTCGGTCAAGTCCTGAAAAGTCGGTATCATGTTATGTTCCTCGGGTTGAAGATCCTACACCGGATGGCCGGGGTACAGTACCAGCAAGCGATGAGCCTGGCAAAACTGTAAGAATTCTCGTCAAAGTACGGGAAGGACTGATGTGATCCAGAGCAATTTCACCAAATGACTATCATAACAATCTTCAATCAGTCCATTCTGAGCGAGTGCATACAACAGTAATTACTACTCCTGTCGCGTAGAGACTGATTAGGCAGGCATGTTGGGGGACAAGACCGATCAAAGATTGCACAGCGCAAACGACCGGGCTTGTCGACAGGTCCTGATCCTGCTATTTCCCGTTTCATTTATTTGCTGCTGTATCCCCTGCCGCTTGCAGGCACCATTAATATCGAAGTGCCAAGCTGTTATGACTGCTGTATTATACTATTTAAGACTTTTCTAAGAATGCAACGCCGTGCTACAGAGTGTGGCGAGTGACGATATTGTAATAACAGACCATCAATATGGATATGCTGCACTGCATGTCTCTCTCTGTCAGTCTCTGGCGATACACCAAACCTGGCGGTCCAAAGTCTGGAAATCACAGCAAGATTTCTGCGTCGAGAGCCTGAAAGGGGCTCGCCTCGTCCTTGATTCCCGCCCACCACCAGCACACCAGCGCGATGTTATAGCAGCGTTTGACATATTGAAGCCATCCTCAAAGCGGAAGCGTTGACACTTCGTGGGAACCCCTCGCCTCCGGATCCTCGTAGTTTTGAACGAAGGTGTAGCACCAGCGAAGCTTTCGAAGCCTGCGCTCTTTACTGTACAGTAGTATGCTACGGCGCCAGTGCACATCCTTCTCCATTCTCTTGTCCCCAAACGGCACACATCCCACCCTCACAGCCCCTGCTTGTGCACAGATGGGCATCGATAACGCTGGAGCTACGCAGCTGAGCTAACGTGATGAGGCTTGCAAGACAGGGGGCCCCTTTCCCCTGCCGAGGGGGCCTTTTCAGCAGCAGAGCCAATCAGTAATCGCGTGCTAGTCCAACTGCAGGGTGGATGTCCGATCGACGAGCCTGTGGAGTATAGAATGGAGTATTTTTGTTTCTCTCGGCTCCATATCACTAACAAACAAGCCGACTGTCCCATCCGTCAACGGCGGGGAGTCGCTGGAGCGCACCGTACCACCGCTGCACCGCTGGATGGATCTCCTCTAAGCATTTAGCACGATCGACAAGACGGGCGGGCCTGCAATTGAATCCTCCCCCAGAGCGAGGTGGATCACTGGGCGGGTTGAGCGTTCCCACCCCAGCGACTTCCGAAACACGCCGATAAGCTAAAAAGACCGGACTGACTGAGGAAGAAGACAGTGCCAAAGACTTGTACCGTGCCGCGCAAGCATCTGACCTGGCCTGGCCTTTTGGGCGGAGAAGGGAAAAAAGGTCTGTGGTTCACTGGGTCTGCTACGATACAGTAGTGCGTGGAAATAAGGATTGGCTACTATGACCTCATAGCCTGGAAAACCGCGAGATAGAGACTGTCCGGGGACAGAGCCCTCGAGGCCCCGGCGACGGCGCAGAAAATAAGATGATGACAGGCCATAATCAATTAACAAGGTGATTCCCGCCGCCAACAAACCTACAATGCCCTGGATGATCATATCATGCCGTGTTTAGAAGCCGTGTCTAGAGAGACAAATAAATAAAAAAATCCTCCGCAGAGGGAAACAAGAGACGGGCTGGCGACCCGGAATTTTGCTTCTGGACGCGCAAATTGTGGGTGATTGTACGCTACCCGGTCCGGCCAGCTTACGAAGCTCGCCTTCTCAAAATCGCTTTTGCCTTTTTCCCCGATTGTGCCATAGAGTACTAAAAAGAAAAAACTCGAACGTGGGTCAATGGCTAAAAAGAAGACGGCGTTGACGTTGTACCAACAGTTGAGATGCTCTTGTTAGACATACGGCTGCGTATAGAGAGAGAGAGATGTGTTGAATGCACCGAATAGAGCTACCGTACTATTAGAGAATCCCTCGCCCTTCAGGGAAAGATACATGCATCCGTAAGCAGAGGAGACCTTAGCCGGCAGGAGCTTGCAGCTTACGATGCATTTGCGGCGTTGCATCTTGCAGGTACTGTGCTGCAGAGCTCCGTACGGAGTCGCTCACGGCGGCAAACCCGAAGCTTTTGTTGTTTGAGGGGGTGTGGTCAAGCATTTGCCATTGATTGTAGACACAGGGCTTCTATACCCTCTTGAAGGAATAGAATGACATAGCGACGTGTGTCAATCAAGTATTGATGGGCATTGAGACGTCAAGGCAGTGTCATCGTTCGATACATTCTGCAATATAGAGACAGGCGTTTCCCCCTCCTTTCTCTCGCCTTGCTGTTGCTGTGAAAGGCGTGGTTGGTGGAGGGTGACATCCACCATCCCACCATCAGCAGTCTTTCTCATGCCACTCCGCAAAGGAGACCCGTCATCGCGCAGTTTGACTGCATGCTCGTACTCGATGATAGAGAGGGCAGCATATTAACTGACCAATTATAGATCAACCGTATTTGAATTGGCTTTTTGTCAGGCCTACTGCTGCTCAGATATCACCGTCATAGATACTGTGGAATTTTGCGACTTCAACAGCCTGAAATCCACGGCTTCGCACCGCCAGCAAATGCTCCTCGGATCCCCAGGAGCCGCCGCCCTGGACACTCCGGCGGTAGTACATCAGTTTTCACACAGTCAAAACAGACGGCACCGGGCAATTCTTCCTTCTGTCAGCAGCAACTGTCAATGGTTTCCTCGGCTGGGGCAGAAATGGTCTTTCGTTCGATTCCCATCTTTTTCTAGCGCTGCAGTGGTTCCCACTAGGCCCTAAAAAAGCAGCGACTGGTTGATCGGTGCAGCAAAGCTTCCCCTTTTGGCCTGCAGCATGCAAGAAGGAGGGTGTGCTAACCCGGCGACTAAGGTCGGTCGGCTCCTATGGTCCTCTCAAGTAGACGCACGCCCTCAGGTCTGGAGGCGGCGAGGTACGGCACGTTATGTACGGCGTAGTATGGTACGGTATGTAGCGCGGCATGTGAAGCTGGGCAAAGCCGACCGAGGGGTTAGTGAACGGACAAGAAGCAGTTAGCCAGTGTGAGCGATGATTCGGCCTGGAAGACCAGTAGCTCAAACCAACAATTCGTGATATTCGGACACCTCTAGAACAGAGTTCAGTTTCTCGTATCCATTGGGCGGACGGGATTCCGTTGAGGGCTTTTCAAAAGCAACTCTGCCGCGGAGCGGGATCTCTAGAGGCTATTGACTGATCTGTCGGTGCTACAGTATCTTGCATCTGGACAGAGCAGCAGCACAACAGATGAATGGACTAGATTGCACCGCAGGCGCCTCTGGTTGAGGGATGAGACAAGATATGCGGCCGCCAACGGGCCCAGCAATGAAGGTCCAGCTCCCAAGTTAGAACTTACTGCATAGTAGACCAAAGGCTGCAAGCTCTAGCATTGCAGGTGGGAAGTGGCAGCGCTAAGACGGCGTTAGACGGCTGTGCCTTGCCTTTCGCCGCGCCGGCCGCGAAGTTAGTGGAACAAGCAGAAGAAGCTTTCGATGTAGACCCAGAGGACCTCTACTGGCACCGTGTTGCTTTGTCTCGAGCCTGTGCCTGTGCCCATGTGTGGGATAAAGTGGTTCAGGTGGATTGCCAGACGAAAAACCCGGCAGCCGGCGCAAAGTGTTGAGCCACCGACGCTCTAATGGACGACTACGGACGATAGCATTCGCCGGCATGTTTCACCTGCGGTAGCCTACCACAGAGCAGCGTCGGCAGAAGAGAGCAGATTCAGCTCTGTAGTGCGGCGCCCGGTCTGATACTCGGCGGGCTGGCGCGCAGGCGTTGAAAAGGAACAATGCCATTGTTTGGCCAATTCGCTGAGGAAACGTAGCCGTAGCCGTAGCTGAGAAGGAAGTGTGGTGGCCTGGTTCAGGTGGTTCAGGAGTGTTATCGCATCATACAACCACAATCACCACTCATCAGGAAGGTGAAGCATGGCTAACATGGGGTATGTTATGTTACTCCCACAGAAAGTGTCACTGGATGGACATGGACAGGGCTGGTGTGGTGAGCACTGAGTACCGAACAGATATGGAGACCAGCCTCCTCTTTCTCTGCTCCGCTCCGCTCTCTGGTCTGTTCTGATCGGGCTTCGATCTGCCCACTGCTTAGGTCTGCTGCTCCAGACAGTAAGTGAGTGACAAGCCGAGTAAGGATTGCACTGTCGTATCATCCATACCTTCACTCCCGCCGTTGAGTCGGATTCTCCACCCCCAGCCGGCTCCAGCATAAGAATAAAAAAAAACTCTTAGCACAAAGCCAAGCTACGAGCACAAGCACACATGCAGGGGTGGTTGGAGAGAAAATGGGAGAATGGTGAGGAGGTGGTGCTGTGGTGGTGGGATTTTTGCGTGGTGTTGCTCGAGGAGGAGGAAGAAGGGGGGGGGGGGGGGGGGGGGGAAGCTAACAGGAGCTAAGCTAGAGTGCGCCCCCCTGTCGCGTGCAGGTGCATGCCCTCCATGCCAGCCTCCCCCTGGTCGCGTACCGGGGGGTGGGCGCGCCGCGCAAAGTGGGTGTGGGACTTTTTGCTGCCGTGGGTGCGGAGCTTCAACCACCACAAAGTATCCTTGTACCTCCCGCACCCACTCACCCGCATATCGATACCTACCTGATTTACATCTACACAGTGACCGCGGCCAGGGATGAGCATTCAAGCGAGAGTACTCACAGTCCTCGAAAGACACCGAACGGTCGATCGATGCAACCTCCCAGAAACTGACTCTCTCTCTCTCTCTCCATTCTACGTGCACGCTACTCACGCACTCACCCACCGCTTAGGTTAGGTATTCTCAAGGGAGTGATTGGCGTGGAGGAATGCGAGCCCCCCATATATGACCATCTCTCTGCCGCTGCCGGTGAACACCCGACTCACCTTCTCTCTTTCCACCTTCTTCTGCTCCTCCTCAGCATCATCGTTGTCGTCGTCGTCACCTCTCACTCTCACTCACCCGCCAACTTCCTCCTTCAGGAGCAGGACAAGTCAAACTTTCGTTCGCTTAATACACATACCGACTACCCGCCTCGGCGTCACCTTGTAGTAATATCACCCTCTTGTCCACCACCTCACGGTCGTTATCCTTGCGCGCCAAAGCATACCCTAATTCGCGCCACCGCATCGTTTTTGTAAGGAAAGAAAGAGCGAAAAGTCCAGAGAATTCAAGATGAAGAGCGCATTTGTTGTTCTTGGCGCCATCGCCGGCTCCGTGGTCGCCCAGGGCGTCACTGACAAGATCTCCCCTGACGGTCTCGCCCCCGAGGGCTGCTCGGCCACCTACGACGGAACCTTTGAGATTTCCATCGCCCAGGTCGTTGGTGCTGCCAAGCGCGGTCTGCCCCAGGTAAGATCCTCTTCGAATTTATTCATTGCCTTCTTAGTTCATCGTGCGAGGGTCGAGTTTCGCTTTCTTCGCAGCATGGTCACGGGACCACGGCGAAGGCGCGCCAGCTCGGATATGAGCGTGGTGATGCGACGCAAATATGACAGATGGCTGACTATCGATACAGAAGCGTGCTGCCTGCAGCGGTGACGGTATCCTCGTCTCTACCCTGAGCGACGGTGTCATCTCCGATGCCAAGGACCGCATCGGCTACATCGCCTCCAACTACCAGTTCCAGTTCGATGGCCCGCCTCAGGCTGGTGCCATCTACACTGCTGGTTTCACCGTTTGCGGCAACGGCTCCATTGCCCTGGGCTCCTCTACCACCTTCTGGATGTGCAAGTCTGGCGACTTCTACAACCTGTACGACCGTAGCTGGGCTGCTCAGTGCTCCCCCGCCGAGCTGGTTGTCCTCCCCTGCGGTGGCGATGCTGCCGCCAGCCAGGCCACCGACGGACAGGTTGTCGGAACCAAGATTGTCACCACCACTGTCGTCAAGCCCCTGAGCGACGGCCAGCCCCAGGTCATCACCACTGAGGTCCCTGTTCCTATCTGCCAGATTGGCGATGGTGAGTTGCCTTCACTTCCTGGTACATGATGAATAAGGAACCAGAGCTAACACATCTTCACAGGCCAAGTCCAGGTTATCACCACCCCCTGCGCATCCATCACTGCTGTTGCCACCAGCAACCCCGCTCCTGTCTCTCAGTACTCCGACGGCCAGATCCAGGTCACTCCCCCTGGCTCTGTCATCGTTTCGGGCACCGCTTCGGTACCCGTTGTCGTCACCACCCCCGCCTCTGTCCCCAGCGGCACTGCCACCGTGGTCCTGCCCACCGAGTCTGCTCCCTCGAGCATCCTCACCACCGTCGCGACTGTCTCCAGCTCCAGCCCGGCTGCGACCACCTCAGTGGTCCCGGCCAACGGCGCTGGCCGTGTCGAGATGGGCTCCATCGCCGCCCTGGCCGTTGGTCTTGTTGGCGCTGTTGCCTTCCTATAAACACGTCTCCACTTGGGACAAGTTTCGATAGGAATCAGCAACGGGGATATGACAGGACACTGGTTGTGACGAATGGATTCCTGGGGAGGTAACGTCTTTTTTCGACTTCACGCCATCACCACACAACGACTTGCATACTTTGGTAGGCTTGCATCGCGACGCGAACCACGCATTGAAGGGAAAAGGATGAGAACTCCGAAGCTGCGACAAGCAGCAGAGGAGAGAAGATGTAATGAAACGGATTTTGCACAAGGAAATTTTGCAGAGGCAGCTTTTGTCCACTTGGACACAAACTAATACATACTCTTGGGAAACGGAATGAAATGCTTGGATGGGATGGGCGAGGTCTCTTCGGTTTCCGGGCTGGTGAAACGGCCGGGCTGGGAGACGAGGGGGATTTCGGCTTTCCTGACCAGATTGCTGTAAGGCGGAGGTAATAAATAGGTCGCCGACGTTGCTGTACGTAGGACCCATATAGACACGCACAAACGCCTTGTTACAGACAGTCTCGATCCATAATGCATGTCTCTGTGTAATGATGATGATGATGAGTAGTTGAGCCTGAAGTTGAAGTTGAAGAGCCGCCAAGCTTGGCGTTGTAGTTGTATTTGTAGAAAGGATAAGGTTGTGAGACTGGGCCCGGTTCAGGCGGATTCTGGAAGGTTTACTTCAGCCTCAATCCCGCCTTGCCTCGCTGCCAAGCGCCGCCTCGTAGCCCCTCACTTTGGCTGGGCAGCTGTAATCCACTGAGGCTACCGCCCGCATTCGGCTGGCATGTCAATTCTGCCAGGTGCCACCATCGAATTTCTTGAATGAGGTAGATAGTCGTTCGTATCTAGACTCTCTAACCCTCGACAATCCACCGCCGACTCTCGAACATCACAACGCAGAAGACTGAAAGTCGAAGTTCTTCTCTTTCTTGAGCTCTATCTGCACCTCACAGCCTGGTGAAACAGCGCTTCTCTTCAGCGCCCTGCGCGCGCGAATACCCGTCAATTCATACCTACCCTGAAAGCTGCGCGGACAAACCCGCCCACGAGACCCGCCACCATGTCCGAGTACTGGAAGTCCACGCCCCGGTACTGGTGCAAGCACTGCAGCACCTACGTGCGCGACACCAAGCTCGAGCGCCAGAACCACGAGTCGACGGCGAAGCACCAGGGCGCCGTGAAGCGAGCGCTGCGCGACCTACACCGCGGCCACGAGCGTGAAGAGCGAGACAAGGAGCGCGCGAAGCGCGAGATCGACCGGCTCAACGGCGTCGTCGGCTCGTCGTCCTCCACATCTGCATCTGGCGCGGGCCTGTCCTCTAGCAGGCCAAATGCCTCCGGTGGTGGTGGCGCGTCCCGCGGGCCGTCGACGGAGGCCGAGCGCCAGAGGCAGATGGAGCAGCTGGCGGCCATGGGCGTCAGCATCCCGGATCAGTTCCGCGGTGACATGGCGATGGCTGGAGAGTGGACCGTCACGAACACGCGGGTGATCAAAGCCGAGGACGAGAACGGTAAAACGAATATCGAAGCAAAGGCACTCGGGGTGCGCAAACACGAACGGACAGAAGAACAACGAGAGGAAGAGAATGCGGTGAACGGTCTTTTCAAAAAGCCCAGGAGATGGGGCAGAGATTCAAGGGCTATGCCAGAAGATGACGCAGACCTGGACGCGCTATTGAGCGGTTCACTAGTGAAGAAGGAGCCCAAGCAGGATACAGATGACGTTGTCAAGCAGGAGGAACCTGTTGACACAAAGATAGAGGAGCCACTCCTGGAAAGGCCAGAAGATGCTGAAATCAAGAAAGAGTCGTCGGAAGAGGAGGGGGTACCGAACCAAACACCCAAAAGCCTACTTCCTACCACCAGCAGCGCTCCAGAGGTCAAAGAGGAAGAAGGGGCAACTCCAGAGCCCATATCTGTAACGTTCAAGAAGAGGAAATCCAAGAACATACGTCAGAAATGATGGCACTTGGAGTTTGAGAGAATTTGATACCGGGCAGATGATCTAGAGTAGGCCCTCATAAGTAAGAGACTTGCGAGTCTGCTTTGGGTAGATGTACCGGTAAACTGTCAATAATAGATACCCCTTTTGTGATTTCACAACAGATCGAAATCGAATCGAATCGTAACAATTTAGAATTCAGTTCGTGATATTTCGCTCTTCTTCCTTAAGACTAGAGCTTAGAAAATGCGCTATGCTGGTCTATAGATTGAAGGCTGCACCTTACGCCTCGCTCAGAACATCAACAATGCCGGTTATTAATTTCTGACAGCCATCTATCCCCAATTTGTCTTCTGCCCCGAAGACTCCAATATCCATTACTCCATCGCTATTGACAGAAACCTCCACATCTACCGCATCCTGTATCAGATTAGCGTGAAATCCTTTGATCAACTTTAGTGAACTCATGAAGGCAATACTTACTGGATATGCATCATTGACGGAGTTCTTCGACAGCCAAGACATGCTCCGAGGATCCAGATGTCCTTGGTCACGTCTCTCTGTAACGCTCGCACCTGTGACCTCTATCAGGCGGACATCACTACCACATTGCAATTCTTGCTCTACATCAGGCAGTGCCAGGAAGTTGACAAAGGAATCCAATACCACACCCGTCCAAGCTTGTACTTTCCAGAGTCCCACGGACGCAAGTTCTGGGGAGGATATCTGGTGCAGGTCGGATTGCACCTGACGAGCGATATCAAGCAAAGTGGAATCTTTAGGCAACTTGACTCGCAACGGCACGAGGCAGAGAGTTGGGTACGGCAAACGAGAATCCTCATCTTCCGCACCGCGATTGGCAAGGTAAATGCCAAACACGACCTCTTCTCTATTAGATCCATTACCAAAGCTCGTTGCCAGCATCTTCGCATACGCTGCGAAGAAGAGTGACTGCATGCTCAGTCCGGACTTGGAGGTTATTGCGCGAAGTCCGGCAACATCAGGAAGAGCTCCGCGCTGCAGGTGCTCAAGGCGATTTGACCGAGCTTGGGTTAATGAGTTTCGGCGTTGGCCAATATGAAATTCCGTAGACTTTGCGCCCTGCAGATAGGTCCTCCAAAACTGTTCTTGACTTCGCCAGGCTTTTTCGGTTACCGTAGTTGAGATATAGTGCTTCCATCTAGTGAATAATGCAGACTCGCTACCACTTTGATGAGACTTGCTGCCTTCTTTCAAGAGCTGGATGAATCGGGCAATGATGGAGGGTAAGCTGACACCATCATAGAGCGCATGGTGTATTTTCATTTTTAGAGTCCATACCATTTCGGCCGTCTTTGAGACTTCCAGTGAGACAAGGCCGTGTGTGCTCATAAACTCCTTCAATACCACCTGAACAAAAGGAAAGTTCTCTTCTCCTGTTGTGGCAACGAACGACGTGCGTAGGATTGGTTCAGAAGCCAGCAACGCAGACCATGCTGATTCAATGGATCCAGGATCTCGTACACCAGACAATTCGTAGATGAACTCAGGAAAGAAGACAACTCCTTTTGAATTTTGCCAAACACTCAACATGTGGGTCTGCATGGCTGTTGCCGGCAGAACTGTCTCGACCATCGTCTCACCAATACCAGCGGACTGCAGCAACGCAGGGATTTTGGTGACTGGAAGAGCTTCATTGAGGGACGATGTGGCATAATTTGCTTGTTGGGAGTTGTTGTTACCATTCGTGGCTATCCTTGCCATCTCTACGATCGAAGCTGCTTGGAGTAGATCGCGCACTCCAATTATTGTGCCTTTCTTACGCAACAGAGAACTGGCCTTGATGGCACTGATTGAGTCGAGACCTAAGTGGTAAACACTGTGCTCTTTTCGAATCGAGTTCGCATCAATACCAGACAGGTCTGAAAGAACTAATCTCAGCGTTTCCTCGGTCTGCGTCCAGTCGCTGTTGTTGACATTGTCTTCGGTATCATTCAGGCCCTCTGCGGTGTGCTGTGATTCAGACGCTTTGGGCTGGAATGGAGGCAGTCTGCATACTGATATACCATCTGGTTCAGACCTCAGTACATCCATATCGGGCGAGTTGATGAAGAAACAGAGAACAGTATCGAGCTGATGAATTAGTTCATTCGTCTCTTCTTTCGTGAGATAGTCGCTGTCACAGGCTGCTCTCCACAGTACAGAGTCCGCCACGACCTCCATTTCACCACACACGGGATACTCTATCTCTGAAGAACCGCCAACGGATCTCATGGCTGGTGATTTGGTCTCTGATCCTGGAGAATGGAGACTCTTTTGCAGAATGAAGAGAGTATTGAAGAGTCCTGAACCTTTAATGGCTAGAGACCTTTGTATCTTGCGGAGCGGAAAGTGCTGGAACTCGTTGACCCCTGCCATGTTTTCTTGCATGTACCGTAGTAATACCGAGACTGTACCATGCAATATAGATCTGATCGGCACCGTGTTCATAGTCGGGAACAGAAGTTCTTCCGCAGACTCGATCTCACGACCAGAGAGGACCACGCCGAAGTTAACATCAAATGTTTTGCATCGAGATGATAACATAGCAGCCCAACAAGCTTGTGCAACTACTTGTACGCTAATTCCAAAACGTTTGCAGAAAGCCTTTAGCTCTGTTCCAGATGTGGAAGATGTCTTTTCGATTCTATTCACAGTTCTTGCAGCACTTGTATTGTGGTCGTGCAAAACATGACAGGGTTCTGCCCCTGCGAGATAATTGGCCCAAAAGGCAGATGCCTCAGTGCTAGTCGAATGGATGATATGGCCAATATAATCCGTATTCAGGCTTCGTGGTGAATAGGAACCTGTGTATGCAGCTTGAACATCCTGGTGAAGCAGTCCAAGCGACCAGCCATCGTAAAGTGCGTGGGCGAGAGAAAGAACGAGAAAGAGTTTTCTACCAGATTTGACAAATGCGAGCTGCAACAAATCTGATTTGCCTGCTCCTTCTCGCGCCCGTTCACGCGCTTCATTCATTATCTTTTGCATGTCTGCTGGATCGTCCAACTCTACCTTCTGCAAATGGCATTTAGGCTTCCGGAGCACGACCTGAGAATGCCCAAAGTCGAAAGCCGGACTATCAACTTGAACAAAGATCGTTCTAAATATTGGTGAGTTGAGAATTACTGTCTTCCATGCATGTATGAAGCGTTCGATATCCGCTTCGGGCGAAATCTCTAGCACATCGTGATTGAAGTATCGTTGAAAGTCGGAGTGAATCATCTCGGACACCATCGAATCTTGTAGTGGGGTTGGAGGGAGTATGTCCTCCACATTATCTAACTTGATTCCGCTATCACGGATGTACGACTTGAGAGAAGTAGATATGTCGGCGAGAGTCGATGGCGCGTTGAAAGGAGCTTCTGGCTTTTCCTCGCCAAGGAGAGTTATAAAATTGCGGATGGTTTGACCTTTGATCAGTTGGCTGTTGGTAAGATATATCCCATGGCGCTTAAGCCTTGTAGATAGTCTGATAGTATCAATACTATCAAGACCCAGCTCTAACAAGCTTGTGTTTTCGCCGATAGTACTGGCATCAACATCTGCGAGGAGACTAATCTCACTTTGCAGTGTCCGCGCTTGTGCTGTCCAAGTGAAGTCTTTAGCCGTTGCAGTCTCTTCTATACTCTTAGCATGATGGGGTTGTCTCTTGTGGCCCTGTGGTTCTATGTTGGAGGACCCATATCCTTGAGGAGAAATATATCCATTTGGGCTTTTAGTAGCTGTCTTTGCAGCAGCTTCGAATTGGTCGAGTAAGTTGTTGAGAGCTTTCTCATCTGCGAATCCTTTCTGGGACACAAGAAGAAGTTGCAATTTCTTGTTCGGCAGAAGCGTCACCTCAAATGCCAACGGGTAGTCAGCATTGAGATCAGAATCGACCTGAGTCCATGGATTGCCGCTCGAATCGGTCTGCGAGACTTGGCTTTGGAACGAAAAAAGGGTGTCAAACAGCGGCTTGCTCTTAGTGCACCATTTCTGAATGTCTCTTAGCGGAACATGCTGGAACGGAAGAATCGCGGTGTTGAACTTGTGTGATTTGCGGATGGCAGATGACCAACTCTCTGATTCATCAAACCTATGATGATATGGAACAGTATTAAATAACGGACCAATCGTTCGATCCACACCCTCGAGCTCGATGGACCGGCCGGAGACGACAATTCCAAAAGTAACTCCACTAGGCAGGTAGGCGCGAAGAACTGTTGCCCACAAAGCTTGAACTAGAGCTTGTTGTGTTACGCCAAGGGATTTCCTCAACGTCTCGAGAGTCTCAAACGGAATTACACGAGACATGCTCAAGTCATTCGAACTGGGGTCTTCGGCCAAGCTGGGAAAGAGTCCCGCTGATGCACCGCGTAAGTGAGCCTCCCAAAATAATTTTGAGGAATTGTAATTTCTCAGCGGCCCACGGAGAAGGGCGTCAAGAAATGATGGCGTTTTGGTTTCGGTAAGCCCATCGACATACTGTTCAGTGACAGATTGAAGCATCAAATCGAAGCTGTTGCCGTCGTATAGAGCATGGAAGATTTGCAGGACGAGATTGATTCCGGAGGCGGTTTTCAGAAGCAGAAACTCAATAGGCGCGACGATATTTTGAGAGTTTTTCTCGACCCAGATCTTATGCCGGCGTGTAAGAACGCTTTCCATCGTGTCTCCTTGTCCCATGGATATCTTGTTCCACGAGATTTGGTGTTCTTTCATAGCTACTTGGATAAAACCCTCGCCCGTGCCAACAAACTTTGTGCGTAGGATGGCATTCTGGTCTAGTACTTTCTGCCACGCATCTTGTAGCCGTGGTAGAACTATGTCTTTTCGAAGCTCGAAACGGAATATATTGAAATAAAGTCCTTCATTATCGTCAGTCTGTGATCTCGATATCATACCCTGCTGAAGAGCCGAGCATGGTACAATATATTCGATCTCCTCAGGCTTGACGCCCAGTTCTTGACAAATGGCACCCCGATGCCTATGCTGGCAGGCCTCCAGCATTTGACGAGACT